CCCCCGTCCATGGGCCGCGTCGAGAGCGCTACTTCCTCGTGCTTGTCGACGACTTCACTCGCTACACCACAGTCTTTCCCCTGGAGCGCAAGGCCGATGTGCCTGACACTCTCATCCCCTGGCTTTTCTCAGCTCGTGTCCACCGAGGTCTCCCTGTCTTGCGTCTTCACTTTGACCGTGGTGGCGAGTTTGCCTCAGGTGTCCTTGGTCGCTTCTGTCGTGCGGAGGGCATCACCCAGACGTTCACCCTGCCGGACGCCCCACAGCAGAATGGGGTCGCTGAGTGACGCATCGGTTTGGTCATGGAGGTGGCTCGCACCTCCATGATCCATGCCGGTGCACCCCATTTTCTGTGGCCGTTCGCCGTGCGCTACGCTGTTCACGAGCTTAACCTGTGGCCGCACCCTCAGCGGCCTGAGGTTTCGCCGACCCTTCGTTGGACCGGGTCACCTTGTGACGCGTCTGCATTCCACGTCTGGGGCTGTTTGCTCACGTTCGTGACTCTGGCACAGACAAGCTCACTGCCCGCACCCTTCCCTGCGTCTTCCTAGGTTTCCCCCTTGACGCGTCCGACTGGCACTTCTACCACCCGCCGTCTCACCGCTTCTTTCACTCTCGCGACATCACCTTTGACGAGTCCGTCTCCTTCTACCGTCGCTTCCCCCACCGCGGTCCCCCTGTCACTCCCCTTCTGTTCCTAGTCACTCCTTCCCCAGTGTTCCCCACCCCCCCCCCCCCTCCCCCTCCCTGTCCTGCCCCCTCCGGTGTTTCCCACGTCACCCCTCTCCCGTCGGTTGTCCCGGTCGAGGAGTCCTCTGACTCTGGTGGTCCTGCGGCGCAGTCCTCGCCGTCTGTCCCTCCCCAGGTGTCTCCTCCTCCACCGCCTCTGCAGCCGCTGTCGCCTCTGCCTCTGCAGCCGTCGTCTCCTCCGTCGCCGCAGCTCGTTGCGTCTGGGGGTGCTGGTGTTGGAGTGGGTACTAGTCCCTGTGGCCCTGGGGGTGGTCCCGGTGCGCGAGGGGTTTCGGGCTCTGGGGGTGTCCCTTCTGGGGGTGCAGGCGTGGAGTGTTCTGGCGGTAGCCGAGGAGCAGCTTGCGCTCCGGGTTTCGGTGCTGTGCCGCCGCAGCAGCAGTCCCCGCCGGTGTCCGCCCTTCGCCTGTTCGGCCTTCCGTCCCCTGACCCTGCGTCTGTTCCTCTCCTGCCGTCTCCTCCTCTTCCCGTCTACGGCCCTATGTTCCCTCCGCCGGACTCGTCCCTTGCTCGTCTTCCCCTTCGCTCCCCCCTTGTGTCCCCTCCTCTGTCTCCTGACCCGAATCCTCCGTCTCACGTCTGGTCTCGCCATCCCTCCCGTGCTCGACCTGTCTCCCTTGTCACCCGCTCTCACCCTATGTTGCTTCGTTCCCACGCATCTCGTCCTCCCCTTCTCCCGTTGCCCCCTCAGTCCTCCCTTGTCGTTGCTCCCCCCCCTCTGTCTGACTAGCTGCGTGCCGCCCCTCCTCTTGTTCCTCGAGTCCTTGCCTCTCTCGTTACTGACCCGTCTGTTCCGGTTTCGAGTTTGACGCCCTTGTCGTTGCGGTCGCTGACTTCGCCTCTACCCGCCGCCTTGACTTCGCCACAGCTCTGGTCTCTGACCCTGCCTGTCCTCTGTCTGTCTGGGGTGCTCCTGCCCTCGGCAGTGACGTCCTCGAGGACCGCCAGTTTGAGCTTGCTTTCCTGTCCGAGGCTGCTCCCCATCTCTGTTCCATGCTGCTAGTCCTTGAGGGTGACCCAGACGCTTTCGACATCCCGACCCCTCGCACTTACACTGAGGCGGTCTCGGGACCCTGGGCCTCTCAGTGGATAGGTGCCATGGAGCAGGAGATGGCATCTTGGAGATCCACTGGCACCTACGTCCACGCAGTTCCCCCACCTGGGGTGAACGTAGTTGATGACCGCTGGCTCTTCAAGGTGAAGCGCCCTCCTGGAGAGCCGCCTGTGTTCAAGGCGCGCTACGTGGCTAGAGGTTTCAGTCAGCTTGAGGGGGTGGACTTCTTCCTGACCTTCGCTCCGACCCCGAAGATGACTACTCTTCGGGTTCTGCTACACCTAGCAGCTCAGCTTGACTACGAGCTTCACTCGCTCGACTTCTCCACTGCCTTCCTTCAGGGCAGCCTACACGAGCAGGTCTACCTGCGTCGCCCTTAGGGCTTTACTGGCACCTTCCCTCCTTGAACCCAGTGGCTCCTGCGGCGTCCCGTCTACGGCCTGCGGCAAGCTCCCCGTGAGTGGCACGACACGCTACATGCTACCCTTGCTGATCTGCAGTTCTTTCCGTCCTCTGCAGACCCCTCACTCTTCGTTCGTGTTGGCCAGACTCCGTTCTACATCCTTGTTTACGTGGACGACCTGGTCCTTGCTGCAGCAGACAGGGACGCACTGGTCTCCGTGAAGGCAGAGCTGCTGAAGAGACACACTTGCACTGACCTTGGAGAACTGCGCCGTTACCTTGGCTTGCAGATCTCCAGGGACAGAGCAGCGCGCACCATCATCTTGACTCAGTCACACTTGGTGCACCAGGTCCTTCAGAGGTTTGGCCTTCAATTCTCCTCTGCACAGCCCATCCCTCTGCCTCTAGACCACAGACTCTCCGCTCCAGTTCCTGAGGAGTCAGTAGAGCCCAGTGGTCCTTACGTAGAGCTGGTGGGTTGCCTCATGTACCTGATGACTTGCACCCGCCCAGATCTAGCATAATTTCTCAGTATCCTGGCTCGCTTTGTGGCCACAGACAGGCACCAACCGCAGCACTGGTCTGCCGCTAAGAGGGTTTTGCGTTATCTTGCAAGTACATCGGGCATGGGGTTAGTGCTAGGAGGACGGAGGTCAGTGGTCCTTACTGGACACACATACGCTTCTTGGGCAGACGACGCCGAGACACTCAGGTCTTCCCAGGGCTACTGCTTCAGCCTTGGTTCAGGTGCCGTCTCGTGGAGAGCTACCCGCTCTTTGTCTGTTGCCCAGTCCAGCTGTGAGGCCGAGATCTACGCTGGTGTCATGGCGGCTCAGGAGCTCCGCTGGCTGTTCTTCTTGCTCACTGACTTAGGTGAGCAGCCTAGCTCTACCCTGGTCTTGTACGTTGACAACAGGGTCATGATCCTCCTGTGTCAGGAGCCTCGACTCGAGGGCAGAGCGAAGCATATCCAGCTGCGGTACTTCCTCCTGCGCGAGCTACAGCAGCGCCGCCAGGCTCGCGTAGTACACTTGGCCTCCGGTGCCAACACAGCTGATATCTTTACGAAGGCGCTTGCACCTAAAGATCATCAGCGGCACTGTGTACAGCTCGGTCTAGTTCCTGTAGCCTCTCACTTGTTTGGGCCTTGATTTTGTACTGTCCTATATATATCTATACGTACTCAGACTGGACTTGTTTCCTCTCCCAGTGGCTGGACTAGTAGTGCCGCCCTGGTCTTGTTCTTGTGTTGCCTGTACTCCTTTCGACTGGTCGTTAGTGTCGAACATGTGTATCTCTTATACTTTGCATAGACTGTATAGGGTCATCTCTTAGAGGGTACAACACTTAGATATATTCCCTGTACTCTCTCTCTCTCTAATCATTCATTCAGTTTTAAGAGTTAGACCCTTGTCTCAGTGGCTGTACTAGTTGTGCCGTCCTGAGCTGCTTGTTCAGGACCTGTCCCTATGCAATCTAGGGGGTGTGTCAAACATGTGTATCTCTAATGTTTGCATAGACTGTATAGGGTCACCGCTTAGAGGGTACAACACTTAGGTATATTCACTTGTACTCTCTCCCTACTCATTCATTCAGTTTTTCTTACTTTGATATTATTGATGGGTTTTAAGCGATTTCCGAGCCAACTCTTGCAGCTACTTCACACCATCCCCATTCCGGAACATCGGCCTACCGATCAGGGCCCTTTTGTTCCAAAACGGTGTTAAAGTAGCACTAGGCTAGGATACTAGGCAGGAACAGGGCCGCCATGAATGTGGCGGCGGGGTTTAGCTGGGAGAGTAGGCGAGAGTGTCGAGAGAAAAGAGGAATGATTAGGAAGAGAGAGGAGTACAAGGAGGGGTTTGTACCCTCTACAGAAAGGTTCAGTAACAACCTACCAAGCTTATATTAAATTATAACTCGTATAATTTTAACACACCCCCTAGTCTTGGTAGTGTCAAGCCCACTCACACCCCCACACCCACACCCACACCCCCTAGCCTAGCACCCCCATTCCCAGCAGGAGCCGCAACGACTCCAGAAGTGGGCAGCTTCCACGGCCCGTAGGATGGCAATAGCGGCAGCAGCGTCATTGACGATAGCGGCGGCGGCGGTGCCCGGCCCGCGGCAAAAGCGGCGGCAGCGACGGCGTGAACGTTAGAGGCTGATGCAGCGGCCCCCGCCCTCTCGGCGGCATGTCCAGTCTCCTCGGCGGTGGGGAGGGCCCTCATGAGGCAGTCGTCGGTTGCAGCAAGGAGGTGGGGGATGCAGGGGAAGGAGGGGGGGGCGGGGGGGGGGGGGGGGGAGGGGCGAATCTTCAGCGAGGCGCCATAAATGGCGCGACGCTTACTGGCGGGAGGGCGGCGACGAGGCGGACGGGTAATGGCAGCACCACGAGCCCGCGGCGGCATCTCGCAACGGCCATTACAGCGGCACGAAGACAAGAAGCCGCCACGGCGGCACACTAGCGGGAGGTCGCCACGACGGCACAACGACAAGTGGCCGCCATGGCGGCAGGAAAATAAGGGGCCGCGACGGCGGCACAGGCGCGAACGATTAAAGCACGCGGCGGAAGCGTGGGGAGCAGGCCCACAAACGGTCGCCTGCTCTGATACCATGTTAAAGTAGCACTAGGCTAGGATACTAGGCAAGAACAGGGCCGCCATGAATATGGCGGCGGGGTTTAGCTAGGAGAGTAGGCGAGAGTGTCGAGAGAAAAGAGGGATGATTAGGAAGAGAGAGGAGTACAAGGAGGGGTTTGTACCCTCTACAGAAAAGTTAAATAACAACCTACCAAGCCTATATAAAATTATAACTCATAATTTTAACAAACAGTACATACTGTATCTCCAACGGCCTTATACATACGATTTTGCTGGTCAGGAAGGAACCCCACTAGACGGAAGAAGCAAGCACTATTTTGTGCTTGCTAATATTAATCTGCCTTTCTGCGAACACAAACCCTACTAGAACCCTTAGGATATACACTAAGCAATCAATTCTAGAACCCAAGAACATGTTGCGAGTTTTTCAGCAGGTACGGCAGCGAGGACACATGGAATTTTCTGGCAAACAGGAAGCAGTTGCGCACCGTGCCCTCCACCGCGCAGAACCCATTCTCAACCGTCTGCAAGGCGAAGGGGGCAGGTCCAAGGTGTGGAGATTACGGAGGATTTGAGATACCATCTGATGAATCCACAAAAGCATTGCATGTAGAGACAATGCTTGCGGAAGGGGGGTATGGAATGGGCTAATGGATGGCAAACGGGCACTACAAAATGTAGAGATTTGAACCAGGAACTAGAGCTAGGGCACTCACCGGGGCAGGCTGAGGCTTCTTTGGGTGTTCAATCTGCAGAGGAAAGAAGGAGAGACAGGCAGAGAGAGCATCGTACGAAAGAGGGCAGGGAAGCAGAAAAAAGTACTCTACCAGTACCAGCAGCACAGACTATGTCAACAAATGGACAGACGTTTACTGAGCTGTGACGCTCAGAGTGGACACCAAGGGCTCTTTAGCGGACAAATAAACTAATGCCCTTTCGCACACACACACGCACACACATCTGAAGCGGACCCAGGAGCAAGCAGTGACTTACATAAGAGTATCTGTTTTTGAACTTCTTCCAGTAATAGCGGTACTGGATAAAGTGCTTTGTGGACTGCTCAACGATAAAGACACATCCAGGGGAAGGGGTAACAAAGGGTTGAAGGTACAGAATGCAGGGGGAAATGAAGAGGGGGTGAGGGGAGGGAATGAGACTCGGATAAGGGTGGCATGCACAACAGAGTCACAGAGCACGATTGGCAGGATGCTACGGCAGGCATTGACAGACAGGTAAGGGGGAAGTTAGATAGCGGGGAAGGAATGACCCTAAAGGGGTGAATTCTTAAACCCTAAAGCCACGTGATAGTCGGAGAGAGAGAAGCGAGAGAAGAGAGACTGGAGGAGGGACAGGATCCACCGGCTTCTGTGCGTGCCACCATGGGGAAGAGACCACGCGTCCCATGGAAGACATCACGTGGCCCACCTTGATGGTTTTGAAGAGCGCGTCCGACATGTTGTGCGAGTAGTAGGTCTCGGGGTGGAACCTCCACTGGCTCCAATCCGCCAGGGTCACCGGGAAGCGCGAGATGCCGGCCGGGTCCTTCAGCTGGGCAGAGAGACGACCAGGAGAGACGAGAGCAGGGGAAATGAATCAAAAGCACAGCGGGCATGGATCCAGCACACCGGGAGCATGCACAGCGGACATGTGTATTTTGAGTCGACTCAAAATACATCTGGACATCTGTATTTTGAGTCGACTCAAAATACACCTCAAAATACACCTGAACCAGGTGTATTTTGAGGGCACTCAAAACACACCTGAACCAACAGCACAGTGGACATGGATCCAGCACACTGGGAGCATGCTATAACACAAGTAGGAACTGGCGTTTTTTTTTAACCAATAGAGCAATCACATCACATGTGAGCAGGTCATATATTGAATTGAAATGCACACTGGGAAGCACTTGGTCGTCATGGCTGCACGGCGCAAGAGATGGTGCCGGCTGTGGGGAGTGCAAGGGCAGCGGAACCTACTGCGATGTGTTTTTGAGAATTCTAAAAAACACCCTGCAAAATCAAGGGCAGCGGAACCTACTGCGATGTGTTTTTGAGAATTCTAAAAAACACCCTGCAAAATCAAGGGCAGCGGAACCTACTGCGAGGAGGATCTGGAGGTAATGCTCGTCGGAGCAGCAGTACTTGGAGTGCTGCGCCCTCCACTGTGAGGGCAGAGGCCAGGGCCAAGGGAGAGAGGAGGGTTGGGGAAGAGGTGAGATGGTCAAACAAATCAGAGCAGCAATACTTGGAGTGCTGGCCCTCCACTGCGAGGGCAGCGGAAGGGGCGGTTGAGGAAAGAGACAGGGGGAAAGAGAGGAGGAAAAGCATAATCAGGGTATGTTCAGTGCTGCGAGGGGGAGGGGGTGAGGCCAAGGTAGGGGGACAGATGTGCAAAGCTGAACGAGCTCCACATACTGCAGTGAGTCCCATAGCATCACTTGAAGCCTTTACCAATGAGGAGCCTCCAGTCGGGAAGAGCCTTAGAGCTGGCACATTCGCTGCCTGGCTGTGCTATCCCCCTGTGCTACCCCACGTGCCAAGCGCTCTTCCTGAGATGAGGCCAACCGGCCATATATCCAACACAGAGGTTTTGAGGTTCACAAAGGTGGCGCCATAAACCCCCATGTCACCAAACGCCTGCCCCCCCCTTTTCCCCACCTGGCACGACTTGGAGTGGACGAGGTAGTGCTCCGTGTCCTGCACGACGAGCTCGGCGTGGCGGCGCTGCAGCACGAACCACTGGCTGCCCTTGAGGAAGTCCTTGCGCCGGATGGCCGGCATGTGGATGTCCGGCAGGTACCGCCCAAACGCCTCGTCAAACGGGTCCGTGTGCCTGGGGGGGAGAAAGGGGGAAGGACGAGGGGAGTGGGGCGAAGGGAATATGGTTTTCCCAACTGGTATCCAACTGGTATGTGGTCGGCATGTGGATGCCCCACAGGTATCGCCCAAACGCCTCGTCGAAGGGGCCCGTGTGCCTGGGGGCCGTGAGGAAGGGACGGTGGGAGTGACATCAGCATTTGAGGCGCCTCAAAAGACGATGGGAGTGACATCAGCGAGGTGGCAGGAAAGGGCGGCACTGGTGCTGTGTCAGGAGCATTGACCGCATTGTGGCCCCATTTTTTGGCTCAAAGTATCTTGAAGGTATGGCAGGTCCATGTGATCCTGCGGCAAGTCAGTCATTTGCTATATCTCCCAGACGATTCATCCCCCCTCCACTACATTTGTCGCACTTTACTACGGCATGCATTGTTACAAGGGCCACCACAGCAGGAAGAGGGCGGGGGAGAGAGGAAGCTTATGGGGCGTTGGGAAAGAGTCGGAGATGCCAGCATGCATACGATGCACTTACGCCTCCACGAAGCTGATGTGCGTGCTGGCGATGTAGTTATAGACGTAGTCGAACGACCACAGCGGAATGCACCTGTTGACAGACAAGCACATGGGGCGACAATGGAAGGCAGGGGTAGACAGAGCACAGCACACGCTCCTTTGAAACGCCAGGGGAAAAGCGGAATGCCGCAGGACGAAAAAGTGCCAAGAGTACATTGAAGAGGAGGCGAGAATTCAGAAACAGTAGCCCTCCATGGACTCACGACTCCGAGACGAGGACGAAGTACTCGTTGCGCTTATCCGTGACGGCATACGCCAACAGCCGGCGCTCAGCCGCCACCACGGACATCCGCCCCCACTCCACCTGCACCAGCAGCAACAACGCCGTTAGGAAGAAACCACGAGAAACTCGGCATTGCGAGTAGCAAATATAACGAACCCCGAAAAGGCGCCTAAATTAGGGCGACGGGATTGGCGGGAGACAGCTAGCGGCATCGGAGCGTGAGGCGACACCATCTAGAGGCGAGGAGCGCACCTTGCCGCCAGGTATTTGCCGGTCGACGAAGACTGGCGAGAAGTTCGACGGGAAGGTGAAGTTGGGCTGCGAGGCGTGCACGTACACAGCGTAGCGACCCTCGTGACCCTGGGGAGGAAGGGCGAGAACCCACGGGGGAAGCAGAACGAAGTCGCGAGAGCGAAATGCTTGATGCTGGGGAGAGTGCGCATAAAAGGCTCTAAGACGAACTCAGTCTTAGCGGAAATCGGTGGTGGCGTCATGATTTTAGAACGAGATCAGGGAACGCTCCTGGACGTCCGTACCTGGAAAAACTTCTCCCACAGAGGAGCCAATGGCAGCGGTCCACGCGTCAGGAACATGAACGCGATTCTCCCTCCCGCATCGGCGGGCTCGGCGGGAGCGCCATAGCGGATCAGAGATGTCAGTAGCGGGGATAACGCCGCTGTGAGGAGGTAGAAGAAGAGAGACGAGACGAGAAACGACAGCAGGAACACCAGCGCTAGGGAGCAGATCACCCGGCATATCCTCTCCGGCAGGTAGCCCTTCAAGGGCTTCTTATCCACCAGCCTCCCGCCCTCGGAGATCATGGTCGCCTATTCCGCTTGCACTGACTGATTAAGACGATCCTGCTGCAGATGCTACGTGGAGAAGTCCTAAGTGAGTTAAAAGCACGCCTTAGAAGAACAGATGGGAGCGGCGATCCTCGTCGTCGATCTGCTAATTGGGCGCAATCTATGAGTCGTAATCGTCGTTCTGGTGTTTCCGCTGCCAACACTCCGAGAAGTTATCCATGGCTCGCGCAGCAAACATCACCGCGTTTCGATCCCTATGCTACACGGAGCCTGCAATCTCAGGCACCCTTCCGTTCAGACAGTAAAAGACAACCACGAACACGTTGACGCCACGCGCTATCGCGAGCCGAAGTCTCTCATAATCACCGTGAAATGACGTGGATGTGCTACGACCCCCCTACGATTGACATAACGGCTGCGCGGTGGTTGGAGCGAAGGAGGGGAGGCGAAGTGGGAGGGGAAAAGGCAATTTTGCTGGAAGATGAGTGGGTGAGAAAATGAGGTGGGGGAATCTGCTCGCCTGGGGTGGAATCCCAAGGTGTACTTTGGGATGATCACTATCTGGGGGGATTTACCACCAGGACTGCTGGGCTCTCAGGTTCGGAGTGAGCCACAGGGGGGAGCTGGGAAATTTTCTCACCTGCTAATGTATTGGGGTTCAACCAGCCAAGCCAGCCGAACCATTCGTTAGTCAAAATAGCTCGGGCCGAACCATTCCGGGGCAAAGCTAAAGGCTCGTCACAAGTTTCGGATTTCTATGGTTCGGTTGTCGAAGCTACATCTGTCGAGGCATATTTGCAGCCCTGTACAGTGTACTCCAAGGCTGAAAACCAGGTGCCCATACCGGCTGCGAACTTGACCGGTACCGCTTCCACGCAAAGCAGAGAGGCGAAGCGCCTTACTCAGGCTCGATGACCCATCAGCTGTACGCATCAGTAAAGCCTTCGATATTACAACAGTTTGTGCACCAAGAACATGTGCTGCTGTAACTCAGCAAAAATATGTTCCAATTCAATTTCACCATCCGATAATCTCGAGACAATTTCTGGAGTAGCGCAGTATGGAGCCTGGTCGCAAGTCAGGTCCACTCCGAGGGAGCTCATCTGGAAGCTAGGGCGTGGTACATACGATCACGAACGGGGCGCCGTTCGAACGGTCAGAACGGTACAGTAATCTCGAAAGCGGCTTTGGCGTGTTTTAGACAGATAATCGCGTGGTACAGTGTGGTCGAGTTACGTGATTGGGAATTCGTGATTGTATGTACCACGCCCTTGGTCTGCAAGTGACTCAACACCATAGCCATAGAATGACTTGACTAAGCTCGTCGCACGCATTACGGCCGTGGATCTTGAGTTCCACGTTAGCGGGACGGTTGTTGCGATTCTACGCTGAGAGCAATTTGCTAGCCCTGGTAGGACATTGGTCCGACGCAGTCAGTCCGGCGTGCAGACAGACCGATAAACAGACGGAAAGATAGACTGCCGCTCTTGTGGCTCGTTGAGAGTTACCTGCGCGCCGGTCGAACATTGATCGGTTCGGCGAAGTCTGGACGAGCAGACAGGCAGACGGACAGGCCGGTCGACAAGGACACGCACCAATGGGTAACTAGGCAAACGGAGGAGAGCAGATTGCGGTCGGACTGAAGGAGAGAGCGCTAGGCAGACGGCGGATTCAGGGCGAACTGCATCTGCCGGACGCGTAGATTAATCTGGAGCGTGGGCCATGGAGCCGGACGGAAGCATCGAGTCGGCGTCGGTGATCCGCGTGGTGGTGCTGCAGGTCGGGGAGATCACCGCCTCGGCGTTCCGCAGCTACTCCAACCTCATCATGAAGCACAGGTGGGGCACAGGTGGGGTACTCCAGCCTTACAGCGAAGCACAAGTGAAATCTGGCGTTCCGCAGCTACTCCAGCCTCATCATGAAGCACAGGAGGCGTTCCGGGGGTACTCCAGGCTTATAGCGAAGCACAAGTGAAATCTGGCGTTCCGCTGTTACTCCAGCCTTATCATGAAGCATTGGTGTGGCCAGGCATTCCGCGGATATTCCATGAGGCCAGTAGCTCGGCCATCTTTCATCCGGTCCCTCACCCCCCCTCGCATCCTTCCCGCACATCCTTTCCTCATTGCCCCTCTCCAGGGTGATGCCCCTGCAGGGCGTGTTCGGATACTACAAGGAGCACCAGAAGAGCCCCTTCTCGCACCAGGTTCGACCCTTCCCTGTGCCTTCACCCTCACGCCTCTGAAATGCGCCTCCAAGACTTCGGTCAGCTTGTCTCCTATCCCTCTTCCGTCCTGTGCTTCTCGCCTTTCTTCTCCTCATATCTCACTCACTCGCCCCATTACCCCTCTCCTCTCCGTCCAATCTCATTACACTGCGACTCGCCACCTCCCCCGCCCTCCCTCCCTGCCAGCCATGGTCGTCAGGATCGCTGCGTTTCAACTTCATCTTGGGAGGCAGCAGCCGCAGCCCCTGGCAGGAGTTTGTGGCGCAGAGAAAGGTACATCGTGGTGTTGTATTGGGTAACGGATCAGGTTTTAAGAGGTTGACTGAATGGGTCAGGGCCAGCAGCTGCAGCCCCTGGCAGGAGTTTGTGGCGCAGAGAAAGCAGGGTATTGTAGCAGAACAGCTCTTAAAAACCGCGGCCCAAAACGTACTTTGAGCAACGGTTCTGGCGAAACAGTAAAAAAATCGCGAGTGTGGTTTCTCGTGAAATGGATTTGGTGCTTCGCACACCGTCAGATCTGACAGCAACGGTTTCGACGGTTGTGATTCTGAAAAGTTGGGTTATCGATCGTTGGATGAGCAGGCTGCAAGGTCTGACGGTCCAGGTTTCTCTGGTTTGCAGAGCTCCAAAACGCAGCTTACCTCCAACTTGAAAGTGAACTATCGCCAACACAAGTATGGTTACGCGGCACTGTTCAGCTTATTTCAAACGCACTGCGTTTGAACGGTGCGGCTTGCAATTTGGGCCGCGAGGGGTATAGACGGAAACAGGAGCACAAGTTGCAGCTCCTGGCAGGAGTTTCATGGCGCGGAAGTTGGTAGAACGAGGGGCGAAGGGTTCACGGCAGCTAATCTGCCTCCAAGGGCGCCAAGAGTGTAAGATCAGTGTATCACCGCACCTGGAATATCACGCCTCTTTATTCACCCTCCTCCCCGTCTCCACCCTCCCCTCACCTCCTCTCCCTCCACGGGGCCGAGCAGATCCACGGGGTGATCGGCGTGTGCCACTGCCCGCGCATGCCTGACATTGCAGCAGCCTACGAGGAGTTTGTGCTGGCGTGCAAGGCGTACCCCCTGGCGCAGGTCAAGCGCTGCATCGCCTTCGACCCCAACACGGAGCAGGTGGGGTGAGGGGGGGCGTGCGTGGCAGCGCCTGGGTGGTAGTGAGGAGTGGACGGAAGAAGTTGGTGCTGGCATGCTGGGTGAGCGCCCTGGCGCAGGTCAAGCGCTGCATCGCCTTCGACCCCAACACGGAGCAGGTGAGGGGTGGTGGGTCAGGCAAGGGAAGCTTTGCTGCTGCGCTGAATCGCTGCGTGTGGTCCGTTGCCGCATTCCATCCGTCGCTGTCTGTGTCCCACCCGTCATCCCTCGTGCCTAATCCTAGTGCTTGTGATTACCCCCTTGTTCCTTCGGCTCAGCACTGTCCCACCCACCCTCACCCCCCCAGCAAGGGGAGGAGGACTCCCAGTGGCGCAACCTGGTGATTCTATCGGGTGTGGACCAGCAGCAACTGACGTCTGCTCTCCCAGTGTTTGTTATTAGCCCCCTTTGTCCCCCTATGCTGTCCCACCCACGGTCCCCACCCTCACACCCCCCGCTTCCCCCCCCCCCCCAGCTGGCGGAGGAGGACCCGCAGCGGCGCAACCTGGTGATTCTGTCGGGGGCGGACCAGCAGCGGCTGGAGGCGCTGCTGGTGTCGGTGATGCACGACTTTGCGGCGTGCGTGCTCATGGCGCTCGAGAGCTGGGTGCTGCACGTCGACCCCATCGCTGCCATCTTCCTCTCGCCGCTTGATAACCCCAACGTCACGCCCAACGAGGATGTGAGTCACAACGCAACGCCACACCCAACGAGGATGAGTGGGCTTGAGGCGTCTCAACGAATGACTTGGTGGCGTGTGCGCTCTTGGCATTGGGGAGCTGGGTGCTTTTCAGATTTCAACCTCTCTTCGATTCCAGCCACCCAGAAGGCCGTCGGCCGTTGGCCGTTTGTACCGCATTTGCACTACAGCGTGGCTTGCGGCTCTCTCATTCTGCTACTGCCCTTGCCACCATCCTCTTGTTCCCCTCCCTCCCCCACTTGCCTTCCCTCCCAGGCAGCCAAGCTGAAGAAGAAGCGGCTGGCGCGCATCCAGAAGGGCATATGCAACGACTGCCTGCTGGCTGCGCTCCTGTTCGCCTCACTCTCTCTCCGTGCTTTTCACCTCCTCCCTCTCCTGCCTTCCCTTCATTCCCCAGGCGGCGAAGCTGAAGAAGAAGCGCTTGGCGCGCATCCAGAAGGCCATCGGCGACTACTGCCTGCTGGCAGGGTCCCCTCTGGACGCGCGCAGCCACTACGGCACCGCCATCGAGCTCGGCCGCCTCACCAACAGCGGCGACCCGCTCTGGCTCGCCGGGGCCCTGGAAGGACACGTCAGCACCCTGGCGGTGAGAGAGGGGGGGGGGTTGGAGTTGGGGTTGGGGGGGAGGAAGGGAGGGAGGTTGGTGGAGAAGGAAGGGGGAGGGAGGGTGGATGTGGTCCAGGAAGCGTTTTTAACTTTTATGCATTGAAGCAGTAACAGTAGTATGGGCTCAAGGGAAGGTGCTGTGTGTGGTGCTCCCAAGGTGCGTGCAGGTGGAGAAGGGGCGATGGGACGAGGATCTGGAGGAGGAGATCCGCACCAAGTACAGCGAGATCGTGCCGTTGTACCGCAAGTGAGTACAGCGAGATCGTGCCGCTGACACGGGCTATAACGAGTTTTGCAGGTGTGAAGACTCGAATGCCCCTGTTTCACTGCTGTTGCAAGTGCATGGCATGGTTTTTGAGGCGCCTCAACGCATGGCAATGCTTAAGACCGCCCTGCTGCTCTCCCTTGCTCCTCCCTGGCAGGGCGGGCGCCATGATCTTTGAGTTGGAGGCGCTCATCAAAGTCGCCAGATTCATCTGCCGGTCAGTATGTCTCTTGCACCCCGCACGCTCCTCACATGACATTGCCTCCCGTTGTCCCTACCACTTCGACCTATCCTCCTTGTCCCTAGCCTCGTCCCTAGCCTCGTCCCTAGCCTCGTCCCTAGCCTCCTCGTCCCTAATCGCCCTGCCCACCTGGTTGCTGGTGTGCTGCCTGAAAGAGGAGCTGTAAGGCACAGGGGCACCGCATCCCGTGCCTTGCCATCTGTTCTCTTCCCCGCATCCCTTGCTGCTGCAGCACGGCCACGGCATTTGCTGGCACAGGATGCGGTGCATTTGCTGGCACAGGATGCTGTGCATTTTCTGGCACAGGTTGCGGTGTACCTGCTGGCACAGGATGCGGTGCACCTGCTGGCCCAGGCAATGGCGACGGGCAGAGGGCTGTTTCTCGGTAGTAGTGAACTCTGACTCATTTTCGCCCACGCCCCCCTGCCCGTCCCTCTCCCCTCCTTCCTGCGTCTCACTGCTGCGTTGGGCAGCAAGGAGATGGCACGGGACGTGGTGGACCTGCTGGCCCAGGCGGTGGAGACAGGCAGAGGGCTGCAGAACCCCAGCGACCTGCTCGTGCTCTACATCGAGGTGCGACCTGCTCGTGCTCTACATCGAGGTGCAACCTGCTCGTGCTCTACATCGAGGTGCGACCTGCTCGTGCTCTACATCGAGGTGCGACCTGCTCGTGCTCTACATCGGGGTGGGACGCCTTGCTCGTGTGCATGCACATGCAACCCCTCCCCTCCGCCCCCCTCCCCCCCCCACGACACACACACATGCATGTGGGCATGCATGCTGGGCTACACCCTCAGACCTCAGAAACCTCTCCCGTGCCCCCCCCCCTTCCGCCCAGGTGGCGCTGCGCAGCTGGGCTGTGAGTGCACACAGGGAAGCTGCATCTGTTATCCTCTGTTTCCCCTTTCCTTCCCCCCCCCCGTCCTCCCAGGCGGCGCACATACTCCAGCAGCTGGGCCATGAGCAAGGATGGAGTGGGATGCATCCGTTCTCCGCTGCTTTCCCTTTCCCCACTCCCCCTCCCTCCCTCCCCTCCCCCCCATCTCTCCCCCCCCCCCCCCCCCCCCAGGTGGCGCGCATATTCCAGCAGCTGGGGTACGAGCGCAAGGCAGCCTTCTTCACGCGCCAGGTGGCCAAGCTGTACGAGCAGCAGGAGTCAAGATTCGCCGCTGTCAGCGCGCTGCAGGTCAGTGCTCGAGCTGTGCTCGCACTCTGCTCGCACTCTACTCCCGGTGCAGCGGCCCTTGTGTGGGCAGACATTGCTGCCGTCAGTGCGCTGCAGCATCAACATGGAGTTTGTTTGTACACGCTATTGCATGACTCGTTCAACCTGCAGCAGCAACAAAGCCCCACCCATCGCCCCCGTCACCCCCCGCAGGTGCTGGCCCTGGCGTCCTCGTCCTACAAGGTGCAGTCCCTCGCGCTCTCCCCCGTGCTCGCCACCCCCGCTGCCACAGCAGGAACAGCAGCAGCAGGCGCAGCAGCAGGGGGAGCAGGAGCAGGAGCAGGCGCAGCGAGCGGGAAGGGAGCAGGGAAGAGCAGCAGGGCGGCGGTGACTGCAGCGGAGAGCAGTGCGCCGCCTCTGGGCGGGGGCCAGTGGAGCCGGCTGCAGATGGAGGTGCTCAGCGACCTGCTGGCTGTTGCCGTGCGGGCTGGCGACCCCTTGGCCGCATGGGCCGCTGCTGCCAGGCTGCTGAGAGGCTTCTACCCGCTCATTCTGCCGCAGAGCCAGGTGGGACCGTCTGGATCGTTTGAGCGCCGCAAACCACAAGGTCATGAGGAACTCCCCATCCTGGTTCGCCTCCTTCCTGCACAACCGCCTGTTGCTCGCCTTCCCCCCCTTGACCTGCCTCCCCCCTCTTTCCTGTGCGTCTTCTGCTGTCCCATCAGGTGTCTCTAGCCCAGGCGCTCACATCAGCCAGTGAGAGGCTGCCAGCTGGCACGCGCTGCCCCGACCTCGCTCTTCCCTTCGTGAGGTTCCATGCGTTCGCCACGGCCCCGCAGCAGACCCAGGTGGTGAAGCGGGTGCGCGGGAAGCGCGACTGGTGGGTGGGGGCGGGCGGGGGGGGTCCGTTCATCTACACGCCCTTCACGACGCGCGCCGCCAATGTGAAGCCGGACATGGTGTGGATCGTGGGAGAGGTTGCGCAGGTCATTGTCGAGCTCTCCAACCCCTGCGCCTGTGCCGTCGACATTGAGTCCATCTATCTGAATGTTGACGGGGACTTCCAGCCGTTTCCTGCATCGCTCTCGCTTCGCCCGAACACGTACTCACACCTGCTGACGCTGTCGGGGTTGCCTCGGTCCCCTGGGGTGATCACGGTGCAGGGCTGTTTCCTGCAGTCGTTTGGCGTGCTCACGGACCATCGATTTGCCGATACGACGATCACGACCGTTGCTGCCGCGGCAGGGAGTGCGGGGTCGGGAGCAGGGCTGCCATTGATCCCTGGCGTGGGTCTGGTGGATCCGTTTTCGCCCGCTGCTGCTGCGTCCGTTTCCGCTAACTCTGCTGCCGCAGTGGCGACTGCTACCCCTCTCTCCGCCCCTACTCTCTCTGCCACTTCCTCTTTGTCTGCTGCTGCAGCAAGTGTTGACACTGCGGTTAAGAGCGGTGCCAGTGCCGGGCGGGGATTCTTGGCCTCTTCTCCCATCCCGTCCACCTCTGTCCTGCCCGTGCTCGATATTTCCGTGCTGCCCGAACTCCCGTTATTGGTCGCAACTGCGGAGGATGGTGATGGGGCAGCTGCCGTTCTTTTCGATGGGGAGGTCAGGGAAATCTCGGTCAGGCTGGTAAATTCCAGCCGCGTGCCCGTAGTGGACGCCCATGTTTCTGTGGCAGGCAGGCAGAAGCGGCACCTGATCGTTCTCGGGCAGGAAAAACTTGCAGCAGCGTTGCCCCTGCTTCCCGGAGCTGCAGTCACTCTGCCCGTGAAAATCGTGGCGCAATTCCAGCCTGAGAGTTCGGAGGACGACGAGGATGACGTGGGAGGAGAGGGGGGCGGGGGAGGGGAGCAGAGCACGAGCAGCAAGGAGGAGGATACAGTGAACCTGGTCGTGCACTATGCTGGGCCCGACAAGGACCCTGAGAAGGAACCTGACACCCCTGCAGCAGCAACCCCTTCCTCAAACCCCCCACCACCCTCCTCCTCCTCCTCCTCCTCCTCCGCCTCCAAGGGCAAGGACAAGGATGATTCGGTCCCAGGGCGCCGCCTGTCCTTCCCCATCAACCTCTGTGTGCGCCGCGGCCTCTCCCTCGTGCGCGCGCGCCTGCTCGTCACAGGCGGCGTCACTCCCGCCGTGCAGTCAGACGGGGGGGTCAGCAGCACTGGTGCTGGCGGTGGCGGTGCTGCTGCCTCCCTTGCTGCTTCTGGTGGCCGCAGCGGTGGTAACCCGGTAACTGGGGCTGGCTCAACTTGGGGCTCGCAAAGTAAGGGTGGAGGAGGGGGAGGAGGGGCGGCAGTGAGGAGGGGAGTGAGTGGGGAGGGGGGGAGGGAGATAGAGGTGCCGGTGCGGCAGGCCAAGGGGCTGCGGCTGCTGGATCTGGAGGTGTGGAACGGCACTGACTCTGCCTTTGATGTCTCTGTGCTCGTTGACCCCCCTGCCTCCCACAATCAACCAATGACCGCCGCTGCTGCTGCCGCCTCTGGTGCGCCAGCCACTGGAGCAGCTGCCAGAGGAGCGGCAGCAGCAGCAGCAGCAGCACAACCAGCAGCATCAGCTGCATCAGCAGCATCGGTGTCACTCCTGGCGTCCAGCCAGCTGCCTCCCTTGTCCAACCTGCAGGCGTCCCTGGAGGAGACCGCCGTCCTCGCCTCGGGGGGCTCCGTCTCGCACTCGCGCATCGGACGAGACTGTGCCGCCCGCCTCCTCATCCCGCTCGGCGGATTCGATTCTCTCCTGGGCTCCGAGGCGGAAGCCGCCCTGGCGGTGCTGCACCACGAGGAGCAATCGGGCGGCGACACCACGGTGCGGCGGCAGCTGGCGCTAGGCCTGGGCCCGATCCCGTCCCCGTTCACAACCATCATCAACGCCATCTGCTCGCGTGTGAAGGTACGGTGGCTGTCGGCGCGCAACTGCCGTGGGGAGGTGCGAATCCGAGAGGCGGTGAGAGCCGTGGTGGAGAGCCAGGCTGTCTCCGTGCTGCTGCCCGACCCCCTGGCATTCTCGTTTAGGGTCACAGCACCTCCTGTGACTGGTGCTGGTGGTGCTGGTTCTTCTGAGTCGACTCACTTGGCGCTGGCGATGAATGCCGAGGCTGGTGCTGCAAGGGATGGTGGAAGGGAAGGCGTTTCGGGTGATGGGGGAGGGGGAGGATGTGGAGGAGGAGGGGGCGCGGGGGCGGGGTTCAGTGTGACAAGCGCGCTGGAGTTTACCACAGTGGAGCTGATGGTGACCAACCAGAGCAAGGGCAAGCTGGCCGTGAGCGTGAGTGTGACATGTCGCGACGTGACTGGCGAGACGTGCGTGGGAGAGGCCACTCCGAAGCAGCACGTCATGTGGGCAGGTGGGTCGTGCAAGCAGCACGTCATGTGGGCAGATGGGTCGTGCATGCAGCACGTCATGTGCGCAGGTGGGTTGTGTAAGCAGCACGTCATGTGGGCAGGTGGGTCGTGCATGCAGCACGTCATGTGGGCAGTTGGGTCGTGCATGCAGCACGTCATGTGGGCAGGTGGGTCGTGCATGCAGCACGTCAGGTGGCAGGTGGGTCGTGCATGCAGCACGTCATGTGCGCAGGTGGGTCGTGCATGCAGCACGTCATGTGGGCAGGTGGGTCGTGCATGCAGCACGTCATGTGGGCAGGTGGGTCGTGCAAGCAGCACGTCATGTGGGCAGGTGGGTCGTGCATGCAGCACGTCATGTGGGCAGGTGGGTCGTGCATGCAGCACGTCATGTGGGCAGGTGGGTCGTGCAAGCAGCACGTCATGTGGGCAGGTGGGTCGTGCATGCAGCACGTCATGTGGGCAGTTGGGTCGTGCATGCAGCATGTCATGTGGGCAGGTGGGTCGTGCATGCAGCACGTCATGTGGGCAGGTGGGTCGTGCATGCAGCACGTCATGTGCGCAGGTGGGTCGTGCATGCAGCACGTCATGTGGGCAGGTGGGTCGTGCATGCAGCACGTCATGTGGGCAGGTGGGTCGTGCATGCAGCACGTCATGTGGGCAGGTGGGTCGTGCATGCAGCACGTCATGTGGGCAGGTGGGTCGTGCATGCAGCACGTCATGTGCGCAGGTGGGTCGTGCATGCAGCACGTCATGTGGGCAGGTGGGTCGTGCATGCAGCACGTCATGTGGGCAGGTGGGTCGTGCATGCAGCACGTCATGTGGGCAGGTGGGTCGTGCAAGCAGCACGTCATGTGGGCAGGTGGGTCGTGCACGCAGCACGTCATGTGGGCAGGTGGGTCGTGCATGCAGCACGTCATGTGGGCAGGTGGGTCGTGCATGCAGCACGTCATGTGGGCAGGTGGGTCGTGCATGCAGCACGTCATGTGCGCAGGTGGGTCGTGCATGCAGCACGTCATGTGGGCAGGTGGGTCGTGCATTCAGCACGTCATGTGGGCAGGTGGGTAGTGCATGCAGCACGTCACGTGGGCAGGTGGGTCGTGCATGCAGCACGTCATGTGGCAGGTGGGTAGTGCATGCAGCACGTCATGTGGGCAGGTGGGTAGTGCATGCAGCACGTCATGTGGGCGGGTGGGTAGTGCATGCAGCACGTCATTTGGGCAGGTGGGTCGTGCTTGCAGCACGTCATGTGGGCAGGTGGGTCGTGCATGCAGCACGTCATGTGCGCAGGTGGGTCGTGCATGCAGCACGTCATGTGGGCAGGTGGGTCGTGCATGCAGCACGTCATGTGGGCAGGCGGGTCGTGCAAGCAGCACGTCATGTGGGCAGGTGGGTTGTGTAAGCAGCACGTCATGTGGGCAGGTGGGTCGTGCATGCAGCACGTCATGTGGGCAGTTGGGTCGTGCATGCAGCACGTCATGTGGGCAGGTGGGTCGTGCATGCAGCACGTCATGTGGGCAGGTGGGTCGTGCACGCAGCACGTCATGTGGGCAGGTGGGTCGTGCATGCAGCACGTCATGTGGGCAGGTGGGTCGTGCATGCAGCACGTCATGTGGGCAGGTGGGTCGTGCATGCAGCACGTCATGTGGGCAGGTGGGTCGTGCATGCAGCACGTCATGTGGGCAGGTGGGTCGTGCAAGCAGCACGTCATGTGCGCAGGTGGGTCGTGCATGCAGCACGTCATGTGGGCAGGTGGGTCGTGCATGCAGCACGTCATGTGGGCAGGTGGGTCGTGCAAGCAGCACGTCATGTGGGCAGGTGGGTCGTGCATGCAGCACGTCATGTGGGCAGGTGGGTCGTGCATGCAGCACGTCATGTGGGCAGGTGGGTCGTGCAAGCAGCACGTCATGTGGGCAGGTGGGTCGTGCATGCAGCACGTCATGTGGGCAGTTGGGTCGTGCATGCAGCATGTCATGTGGGCAGGTGGGTCGTGCATGCAGCACGTCATGTGGGCAGGTGGGTCGTGCATGCAGCACGTCATGTGGGCAGGTGGGTCGTGCATGCAGCACGTCATGTGGGCAGGTGGGTCGTGCATGCAGCACGTCATGTGGGCAGGTGGGTCGTGCATGCAGCACGTCATGTGGGCAGGTGGGTCGTGCATGCAGCACGTCATGTGGGCAGGTGGGTCGTGCATGCAGCACGTCATGTGGGCAGGTGGGTCGTGCATGCAGCACGTCATGTGGGCAGGTGGGTCGTGCATGCAGCACGTCATGTGGGCAGGTGGGTCGTGCATGCAGCACGTCATGTGGGCAGGTGGGTCGTGCAAGCAGCACGTCATGTGGGCAGGTGGGTTGTGTAAGCAGCACGTCATGTGGGCAGGTGGGTCGTGCATGCAGCACGTCATGTGGGCAGTTGGGTCGTGCATGCAGCACGTCATGTGGGCAGGTGGGTCGTGCATGCAGCACGTCATGTGGGCAGGTGGGTCGTGCATGCAGCACGTCATGTGCGCAGGTGGGTCGTGCATGCAGCACGTCATGTGGGCAGGTGGGTCGTGCATTCAGCACGTCATGTGGGCAGGTGGGTCGTGCATGCAGCACGTCATGTGGGCAGGTGGGTAGTGCATGCAGCACGTCACGTGGGCAGGTGGGTCGTGCATGCAGCACGTCATGTGGGCAGGTGGGTAGTGCATGCAGCACGTCATGTGGGCAGGTGGGTAGTGCATGCAGCACGTCATGTGGGCAGGTGGGTAGTGCATGCAGCACGTCATGTGGGCAGGTGGGTAGTGCATGCAGCACGTCATGTGGGCAGGTGGGTAGTGCATGCAGCACGTCATGTGGGCAGGTGGGTAGTGCATGCAGCACGTCATGTGGGCAGGTGGGTAGTGCATGCAGCACGTCATGTGGGCAGGTGGGTAGTGCATGCAGCACGTCATGTGGGCAGGTGGGTAGTGCATGCAGCACGTCATGTGGGCAGGTGGGTAGTGCATGCAGCACGTCATGTGGGCAGGTGGGTCGTGCATGCAGCACGTCATGTGGGCAGGTGGGTCGTGCATGCAGCACGTCATGTGGGCAGGTGGGTCGTGCATGCAGCACGTCATGTGGGCAGGTGGGTCGTGCATGCAGCACGTCATGTGGGCAGGTGGGTCGTGCATGCAGCACGTCATGTGGGCAGGTGGGTCGTGCATGCAGCACGTCATGTGGGGGTCAGTGGGCAGGTGGGTCGTGCATGCAGCACGTCATGTGGCAGGTGGGTGTGCATGCAGCACGTCATGTGGGCAGGTGGGTCGTGCATGCAGCACGTCATGTGGGCAGGTGGGTCGTGCATGCAGCACGTCATGTGGGCAGGTGGGTCGTGCATGCAGCACGTCATGTGGGCAGGTGGGTCGTGCATGCAGCACGTCATGTGGGCAGGTGGGTCGTGCATGCAGCACGTCATGTGGGCAGGTGGGTCGTGCATGCAGCACGTCATGTGGGCAGGTGGGTCGTGCATGCAGCACGTCATGTGGGCAGGTGGGTCGTGCATGCAGCACGTCATGTGGGCAGGTGGGTCGTGCATGCAGCACGTCATGTGGGCAGGTGGGTCGTGCATGCAGCACGTCATGTGGGCAGGTGGGTCGTGCATGCAGCACGTCATGTGGGCAGGTGGGTCGTGCATGCAGCACGTCATGTGGGCAGGTGGGTCGTGCATGCAGCACGTCATGTGGGCAGGTGGGTCGTGCATGCAGCACGTCATGTGGGCAGGTGGGTCGTGCATGCAGCACGTCATGTGGGCAGGTGGGTCGTGCATGCAGCACGTCATGTGGGCAGGTGGGTCGTGCATGCAGCACGTCATGTGGGCAGGTGGGTCGTGCATGCAGCACGTCATGTGGGCAGGTGGGTCGTGCATGCAGCACGTCATGTGGGCAGGTGGGTCGTGCATGCAGCACGTCATGTGGGCAGGTGGGTCGTGCATGCAGCACGTCATGTGGGCAGGTGGGTCGTGCATGCAGCACGTCATGTGGGCAGGTGGGTCGTGCATGCAGCACGTCATGTGGCAGGTGGGGTGCAGCAGCCGTCATGTGGGGGTGGGTCGTGCATGCAGCACGTCATGTGGGCAGGTGGGTCGTGCATGCAGCACGTCATGTGGGCAGGTGGGTGTGCATGCAGCACGTCATGTGGGCAGGTGGGTGTGCATGCAGCACGTCATGTGGGCAGGTGGGTCGTGCATGCAGCACGTCATGTGGGCAGGTGGGTCGTGCCATGCAGCACGTCATGTGGGCAGGTGGGTCGTGCATGCAGCACGTCATGTGGGCAGGTGGGTGTGCGAGCGTCATGGGGGGGGGGTGTGCATGCAGCACGTCATGTGGGCAGGTGGGTAGTGCATGCAGCACGTCATGTGGGCAGGTGGGGGTGTGCAGGTGGGGGGGGGCGAGCACGTCATGTGGGCAGGTGGGGTGTGCAGCAGTAGTGGGGTGGGTGTGCAGCGACGTCATGTGGGCAGGTGGGTCGTGCAGCAGCACGTCATGTGGGCAGGTGGGTCGTGCAGCAGCACGTCATGTGGGCAGGTGGGTCGTGCATGCAGCACGTCATGTGGGCAGGTGGGTCGTGCATGCAGCACGTCATGTGGGCAGGTGGGTCGTGCAGCAGCACGTCATGTGGCAGGTGGGTCGTGCATGCAGCACGTCATGTGGGCAGGTGGGTCGTGCATTCAGCACGTCATGTGGGCAGGTGGGTAGTGCATGCAGCACGTCACGTGGGCAGGTGGGTCGTGCATGCAGCACGTCATGTGGGCAGGTGGGTCGTGCATGCAGCACGTCATGTGGGCAGGTGGGTAGTGCATGCAGCACGTCATGTGGGCAGGTGGGTAGTGCATGCAGCACGTCATGTGGGCGGGTGGGTAGTGCATGCAGCACGTCATTTGGGCAGGTGGGTCGTGCTTGCAGCACGTCATGTGGGCAGGTGGGTCGTGCATGCAGCACGTCATGTGGGCAGGTGGGTCGTGCATGCAGCACGTCATGTGGGCAGGTGGGTAGTGCATGCAGCACGTCATGTGGGCAGGTGGGTAGTGCATGCAGCACGTCATGTGGGCAGGTGGGTCGTGCAAGCAGCACGTCATGTGGGCAGGTGGGTAGTGCATGCAGCACGTCATGTGGGCAGGTGGGTAGTGCATGCAGCACGTCATGTGGGCGGGTGGGTAGTGCATGCAGCACGTCATTTGGGCAGGTGGGTCGTGCTTGCAGCACGTCATGTGGGCAGGTGGGTCGTGCATGCAGCACGTCATGTGCGCAGGTGGGTCGTGCATGCAGCACGTCATGTGGGCAGGTGGGTCGTGCATGCAGCACGTCATGTGGGCAGGTGGGTCGTGCAAGCAGCACGTCATGTGGGCAGGTGGGTCGTGCATGCAGCACGTCATGTGGGCAGTTGGGTCGTGCATGCAGCACGTCATGTGGGCAGGTGGGTCGTGCATGCAGCACGTCATGTGGGCAGGTGGGTCGTGCACGCAGCACGTCATGTGGGCAGGTGGGTCGTGCATGCAGCACGTCATGTGGGCAGGTGGGTCGTGCATGCAGCACGTCATGTGGGCAGGTGGGTCGTGCATGCAGCACGTCATGTGCGCAGGTGGGTCGTGCATGCAGCACGTCATGTGGGCAGGTGGGTCGTGCATGCAGCACGTCATGTGGGCAGGTGGGTAGTGCATGCAGCACGTCACGTGGGCAGGTGGGTAGTGCATGCAGCACGTCATGTGGGCAGGTGGGTAGTGCATGCAGCACGTCATGTGGGCAGGTGGGTAGTGCATGCAGCACGTCATGTGGGCAGGTGGGTAGTGCTTGCAGCACGTCATGTGGGCAGGTGGGTAGTGCATGCAGCACGTCATGTGGGCAGGTGGGTCGTGCAAGCAGCACGTCATGTGGGCAGGTGGGTAGTGCATGCAGCACGTCATGTGGGCAGGTGGGTAGTGCATGCAGCACGTCATGTGGGCGGGTGGGTAGTGCATGCAGCACGTCATTTGGGCAGGTGGGTCGTGCTTGCAGCACGTCATGTGGGCAGGTGGGTCGTGCATGCAGCACGTCATGTGCGCAGGTGGGTCGTGCATGCAGCACGTCATGTGGGCAGGTGGGTCGTGCATGCAGCACGTCATGTGGGCAGGTGGGTCGTGCAAGCAGCACGTCATGTGGGCAGGTGGGTAGTGCATGCAGCACGTCATGTGGGCAGGTGGGTAGTGCATGCAGCACGTCATGTGGGCGGGTGGGTAGTGCATGCAGCACGTCATTTGGGCAGGTGGGTCGTGCTTGCAGCACGTCATGTGGGCAGGTGGGTCGTGCATGCAGCACGTCATGTGCGCAGGTGGGTCGTGCATGCAGCACGTCATGTGGGCAGGTGGGTCGTGCATGCAGCACGTCATGTGGGCAGGTGGGTCGTGCAAGCAGCACGTCATGTGGGCAGGTGGGTTGTGTAAGCAGCACGTCATGTGGGCAGGTGGGTCGTGCATGCAGCACGTCATGTGGGCAGTTGGGTCGTGCATGCAGCACGTCATGTGGGCAGGTGGGTCGTGCATGCAGCACGTCATGTGGGCAGGTGGGTCGTGCACGCAGCACGTCATGTGGGCAGGTGGGTCGTGCATGCAGCACGTCATGTGGGCAGGTGGGTCGTGCATGCAGCACGTCATGTGGGCAGGTGGGTCGTGCATGCAGCACGTCATGTGCGCAGGTGGGTCGTGCATGCAGCACGTCATGTGGGCAGGTGGGTCGTGCATGCAGCACGTCATGTGGGCAGGTGGGTCGTGCATGCAGCACGTCATGTGGGCAGGTGGGTAGTGCATGCAGCACGTCACGTGGGCAGGTGGGTAGTGCATGCAGCACGTCATGTGGGCAGGTGGGTAGTGCATGCAGCACGTCATGTGGGCAGGTGGGTAGTGCATGCAGCACGTCATGTGGGCAGGTGGGTAGTGCTTGCAGCACGTCATGTGGGCAGGTGGGTAGTGCATGCAGCACGTCATGTGGGCAGGTGGGTCGTGCAAGCAGCACGTCATGTGGGCAGGTGGGTAGTGCATGCAGCACGTCATGTGGGCAGGTGGGTAGTGCATGCAGCACGTCATGTGGGCGGGTGGGTAGTGCATGCAGCACGTCATTTGGGCAGGTGGGTCGTGCTTGCAGCACGTCATGTGGGCAGGTGGGTCGTGCATGCAGCACGTCATGTGCGCAGGTGGGTCGTGCATGCAGCACGTCATGTGGGCAGGTGGGTCGTGCATGCAGCACGTCATGTGGGCAGGTGGGTCGTGCAAGCAGCACGTCATGTGGGCAGGTGGGTTGTGTAAGCAGCACGTCATGTGGGCAGGTGGGTCGTGCATGCAGCACGTCATGTGGGCAGGTGGGTCGTGCATGCAGCACGTCATGTGGGCAGGTGGGTCGTGCATGCAGCACGTCATGTGGGCAGGTGGGTCGTGCATGCGGCACGTCATGTGGGCAGGTGAGTCGTGCATGCAGCACGTCATGTGGGCAGGTGGGTCGTGCAAGCAGCACGTCATGTGGGCAGGTGGGTCGTGCATGCAGCACGTCATGTGGGCAGGTGGGTCGTGCTTGCAGCACGTCATGTGGGCAGGTGGGTCGTGCATGCAGCACGTCATGTGGGCAGGTGGGTAGTGCATGCAGCACGTCATGTGGGCAGGTGGGTAGTGCTTGCAGCACTGCTGCTTTGTTCTTCAATGATCCACGTTGAGGTAGCCCATGCTGGTGTCCACTTGTTGTGCATCGCCTTGTACAGCCACATGCAGGTGCTTGGTAATCTCCTCACACACCACATGCCCACTCTCCTTTTCCCATTTACATGTCAATCACACTCATTCTCACTACTCATCCACGTTCCATCATCTATGCCCTACTCATTCCCATCCCACAGGCACGCTGAACGGCATAGACGGCACCCTGGACCCTGGCCAGTCCCTGTTGCACCGCTTCAGCCTGTGCTTCCTGGTGCCTGGCGAGTACACTCTCTTCGCCGCTGCAGTTGTGGACAACCAGGGCCCCTCGCCCACCTCCATGCTTGCCTCGCACGCACACATGGCGGGGAAAGCAGGGCACACTCAGAACCCCAACCCCTGGTGGGCCGTGCTGGACGCGAGTAGACGGCCCCAGACCATCTGCTGCACCAGCTTGCCACACGCCATCACTGTGCTGGGTGCCACATAGTGTACACTTGCAACTTGTTATGTATATGATTCAGTTGGAAACACCACCTGATTCGCATGAGGATGGCATTGATGGTGGAGCCACATGCAAGTTGCATTGCAACTCGATGCTCATTGAAATAATACCAACATGTGCAATCAGAAACTTGAAGTTCACGCACGCACATTGATTGCCCCGTCAAAGCAGGTGGTATGCAGGTACAGATCATGTGAGCATGAACAGGATCCACTGCAGCAACCCAATACAGGTGCATCTAGGGAACTACCGCGGCTCTACCTTGGACCAAGAGAACTGCAGCAGGCCAACCAAGCCAAGCGGCCGCATTTTCCTTCAGAAGAAAACGCAGGACTGCCAGAAAATGGGAGCCCCGAGGAAACTGCCCCAGGCAGGCAAACAACAGCCTGCAGGGGAAAGACGGGATGCACATACTGGAGGATGGTTTGGCATCTGCAGCAATAGACTCCGCCTCCGCACCGCACGCACCATAGTCGGACAGGAGGCTGGCTGAGAGGAATGGGACATTCAAAACAGTGGGAGCAAGAGGCGGGCCGTTGTGCTGGTGGAAGCCCAAGCAGCTGGTGGATGGGAGCATGATGCACGCACGGAAACAGACCGCCTCGCTCACCTGTGGCATAGGACCAAGCAGCGCACAGGCACCCTTGTGAGTGCAGCTCAGGTGGCGTTGGCGCTCATTCGCGGCCCCATGAACGTCATGAAGAGCTCTCGGAAGAGCTGCCGGTTCTTCTCCTGCTCCTCCACAAACCGCTTCTGCCACTCCTCGTTGCTCTCCCGCACCACACGGATCACCTCGTCCAGCTTCTGCTCCACTGCGCTGCTCCCACCACCACCACCGCCACCGCCGCCGCCACCAGACACACCTGCCACGCTGCCACCGTTGATGCTCCCTTGGCCGCCGAAAGCGTGTCCTGGGAAGGGCATCCCTCCTGGCATGGTCCCGGGGGTGGGGAAGCCATCCTGCCCCATGCTGCCATCCCCCCCCGGGTTGATCAGCTGCCCCCAGAACCCTCCCTGCGGAACAGCCACGCCCGCTGACGCATTGCCACCGCCCCCGCCACCAGCACCGCCAGTACTTCCGCCACTGCCGCCACCAGCGCCAGGATTACCAGGCGGCCCCGTGCCCTGGGGGGAAAGCAGGGGGGCGGAGAGGCCTCCCGGAGGGCCTCCACCTGCGGGGCCAGGCGGGCGGAAGTTGGAGGAGGCGGCGGAGAAGCTATGGGGGAAGACGCCTGGGGGAAAGAAACTGCCGGGGGGGAAGAAGCCTGGCGGCGGAGGCGGTAGGAAGCCCGCGGGGGATGTGAGGACGTGCGGGGGAGGCGGCATGGCGCCGTTCATTGCGCCGGGAGGGACGATGCCAACCAGACCGCTCGCATTGTTGTTCGCAGCCTCGTTCCTCGTCGCATTCCCACCGCCTGCGCTGGTTACATGGGCCTGGCTGGTAACCGACGCGCTGGGCGGCAGCAGCATGGGGTCGTTCGCGCCAGCCCCTCCCTTCGCCGTCCAGCCCTTACCGTCCGCCCGTCCGCCCGTCGCACGGGCAACCCCTTCGCCAGGAGCGTCGCTCCGCGAAGGGCTGTTGGGAGGAGAGGCCTCTGGGCTAGGGCTATCCGGAAGAAGGCTCTCCGGGCAGGGAGCGCAGCCTAGCGACTCGCTCAAGTAGCGGTCGATCCACTTGAACCACTTGGGCTTCAGCATTGGATACGCTCCTCCTCCCTCTCCGTTCTCTCCCGACGAGTTGCCCTGCTCCTGCTCCCTCAGGCGCTCCTTTAGCAGTCTATACTTGCGCTCCATGCGGTGCAGCTTCAACTTAATCGCCTCGAACGGCCGGTCAAAGGACGGCTCCTTAGTTGACCGTATGTATTCTTTAAGACGGCCATAGAAGCTCCCTTGGTGCCCGGCCGGCCGCTTCTTATACTCGTCGTTAAGTTCGAACCGTGCGCGAGCTACTAGAATCTGCTCGCGCTCGCTCCACCGCTCGTAGTCTTTAGTCGGCGCCTCTTTGACCGGAGCACCGCTGTCGGTATTCGCATCTGTTGCTGCGCCAGCGGCGCTTTCTGACATATCCGCATCCTTCGATCCCCCTTTCTTCCGTAACCGCTTCTTCTTCTTGACGGAGTTCAATTCCGTCTCTTGTTCCACTGAGTCGTCAGCCGTGGACGGGGGCTCAGAATCTCTCTCCCGTTTCGTTGACGGAGCTCCGTCAGCTTGCTGCAATCGCGAACCGTCCGCTCCGTCAGAAGGGCTTTCCGGCGGGGGTGGATACGTCGACTGAATCGGTCCGGGAGCCTGCGAGAACGGCCTGAAGGACGCCGGAAGCGTTTGCTGATTCGAGGCGTCTGGCCGTGCAATGTCTCTCCACGCCTCCCGTGCCGTCTGCCTCTCCTCCTCGAGCTTCTCCGCCATGTAGAGAGTCAGCCATTTCCACCAGGCGGGCTTCTGAGCAACAACAGCACCCGGCTGCGCTTCCTGCTCGAGAATATCCCGGTACTTGCGCTCCAGGCGGTGGATTTTAACCTTCACCGCGTCGACTGGTCGATCCCAGGAGGCGTCCCAGGCTTTCACCAGATCCCACACCTTCTGCCAGAAGCTGGAGCCCTGCTTCCCGACAAGCTCCTTGTACTCGCCTCGCAACTCGTACCTCGCCTTGGCGATCAACTCCTCCTCGTCCTCTGTCCATCGGTAACCTGGAGCGTCACTACTCGAGCGTCTGTAAAATTTCGGAAAGATCGGAAGACCTGTCCTGCTATCTGCAACTGCGAGATTACCGTGTGCTCCAGGCTTTGCTCCTGAACCCGACATGTCTGTTGCCAGAGGTGAAATGTCACTTGCTGTTGAGAAATCGCGCGACTGAACGACAACGCCTCAGCTGTTGTGAAACGGGGGGTTCATTCTGCTGCAGATAACGGAGAGATGAAGCGGACATGTCCTGAACTCACTGCTGGCTGTTGCGATGAAACCCTAGAAAGCGGTTTCCAGGGAAAGAGTGAGGTTCTGGTGGCGTGCTGGAGCCTGCAGGGAAACAACAAGGGTGCTGGAGGGGTATGGCTGATGTGGTGAAACTCTCACACGACACGAGCTCGGTACGCGAAAAAAACTCACCTGCAGCCAGGTCGAATGAACGGCCCGATCTGCAGGATCTTGCCGCCAGAGATGATCAAGGCTCGGAGTGCAGGTCTGGGAGGAGGTTTAGGGGGAAGATCTAGGGTGCTCCGGTTTGGCTGGGCTCCTTGTGGGGTGAGGCCATCCACTCTCCGCCAGCGTGGCGTCGACGAGTGGAAGCGTACGGCCTGTCTCTCGTTTTGAGTCTGCTGACGTGTTTGATCGATACTGTATCTCCAAGAGCTGTCAACATGCTGTGAAGTTTGCATGCATACAGTGTAATTCAGGATTTCTTACTTATGTTTTTCTAATGAAAGGTATCTCTGGTTCCTTCAACATAAGTTTTCCCCATTATCACATTTGTTCTCACCTTCATTTCAAGCATCCCGCTGTCCCTAATTGGTGTGTGCCTCCGTCGCCTTCTCCTGCGGAACCTCTCTCGTCGCCCGACCCCACTAGTTTCCCAATTCCGTCCCGCGTTGATCCGTTCCGTTCGACCTGAATTCGCGAAACGCAACAGCCTCCGTTAGTAACTTAGGGTTCGTCGTCTCGCCACAACAGTAGGATTTCACTGAGCGTCGCCCGCCATGTTCAAGAAGTCGAGCAAGCCGAAGAACGTGCGGAAGCGGCAGCTGCTGAGCGAGGACCAGGACCGCGACAGCAGCAGCAGCGGCGGGGACGACGAAGATCCCTCAGGGGGCGGGAATCTCCCGCCAAAGTCGAAGAATCCGCGCCGTGAGGGCAAGCTCGCCTTCAGCTCCGCCTCCTCTCAGCAGCGCGCAGCTCGCGCCGCAGCGGCGGAAGCAGGGGAGGGGGGGAAGGACGGGACAGCTGAGGGTCCCGCTAGACCAGCAGTCAGCTTCGCGTATGAGTCGGACAGGCGCGTTCAGGTAGGGACCGCGCATCCAGAAGAGTTTACCTTGGAGCGTTCATGCTGAAGCGCGCAGGGAATGAAATAGCTGCGAAAGGGCGCTGAGTTATGCATGCATGTCCATCAAGTGAGTGCACTAGAGTGGTCGCTATGCTTCCCAGCAGCGCCGGAGACGGAACATTCCCAGCCACCTGAAAGCACTCACAGATTCTCTCCACCCCGTCCCCCTTCCTCCCCTTCCCTATCCCTCTCCCTCTCCTCCAGATGGCCTCTGACAGCCGGGCGACGGCGACGCTGGAGACGGAGACGGAGTTCGACCGCGACTCGCGCGCCATCCGCGAGAAGGTGCTCAAGCAGGCGGAGGAGGCGCTCAAGGGGCGCACGCGCGAGGGCTCCGCCGCTGCTGGGCCAGCAGGGCCGCCCGGGAGCAAGAAGGAGGAGGTGTACAAAGGCATGGCGGGGTAAGCTGGTGTGCCATGGTGTGGACTGATACGCATGGCGGTGTTGCTTTCCTCCTTCCAGTTGGTTTTTTGCGCAGGTTAATACACAGATGTAGAAATTTACAGTTGGTCGTCGTCCAACTGCTTCTTCTCCTCCCCAATTATCCCTGTCCCCTCCAGCTACGCGGACCACACAGCAGGGTTCAGGCGCGAGCACACAGTGGCAAGCGAGAAGGCATCGGGCGCGCACGGCCCGCTGCGCGCCTCCACTCACATCCGATGGTCCGTCCGGTTCGACTACCAGCCGGACCTCTGTAAAGACTATAAAGAGACGGGTTATTGCGGGTACGGGGACTCGTGCAAGTTTCTGCACGATCGAGGGGATTACAAGGCAGGGTGGCAGATAGAGAGGGAGTGGCAGGAGAAGGAGAAGAGGAGGAAGGAGGCGGCAGCGATGGGGATGTTAGAGGAAGGGGAGGGAGGAGAGGGAGAGGAAGAGGAGGAGGAGGATGACGATCTGCCGTTTGCCTGCTTCATCTGCCGGCAATCGTTTGTGGACCCGGTGGTTACTAAGTGCCAGCATTACTTCTGCGAACACTGTGCTCTCAAGGTGAGGCTACGTTCAAGTGACGATGGGATATTATACTTTCTCAGGTTCTCAACTTGTTCTCCGTAGCCTGGAACCTTAGTTGCTACAAACGCTATGTGCCCCTTTGTTTTACAGTCTGCCCGAAGTCACTTTCTCTGTCTCTCCCGTACCTCTCTCCATGCCCGTGCCTACCCCTTGCCAGCACCACTCGCGCAACAAGAACTGCTTCGTGTGCGAGCAGCCGACCCAGGGTGTGTTCAACACGGCGCATGACATCATCAAGCGCGTGAAGGAGCGTGCCGCCAAGGCAGACAAAGACAAGGGGGAGAAAGCCACAGGAGCTGGTGGTGGTGGTGATGGTGGGGATAGTGATGGTTAGAAGAAGTGACACCAATCAAGGCTGTTTTGTGAAGTACGGTTTGATGTGCTGAGAATAGTACATACCATGTGAGTTGTTTAAGAAATGTTGTTCAGGTTGCAACCTAATGGGAATTGTCCAGCGTTAAGGGGCTAAAACTCTAGAGGATGCTCTGGTTTATGTGGTGCTCCAGCAGCATGCGGCACTCTATACCCAGTTTGAAACAAAAGCTCATTAGCGGGACATTTCTGAAGAAAGCAGATCATCTCGGCCTTGCCAACTAGCCGGTCAGGAGTAGGAAGAAGCACATTCCCCGTAGCTAATCGTCCCCATAGCACGTCCCCGTGGGTAGCATGCAGCACTCTATTTCCATGGAGGTCATCCGAGTCGCTCACCCTCGCGCCAGCCTGATCAACCCGTCGCTGCATTCCTCCACGGTTCGACTTGCAACCTCTCGACCTCCCCCTAGCTTCTCCCGCGCACGCGTTCCGACGAGAGCGTTACCGCGCGTGACGTGTGAATCGCAGGCGCCTGTAGTGGTTCACCATGTAGATTCCGCAAAACGAGGCAGATTTCCGGCAGCCGACGAGATCGCTGGCAGTGCTGCGCCGATCACCATTGGTAGAAGAGCGTTTGTGGCAACTTCGCTCCTCTTTCCGTTCTCCCTGAACGTCCAGGAAGCCATTTCCGAAGGTATTGTCCGAATGGCATTCGTCGTGTCCGGCTCTGGTTCTGATGTGGAACTTTGACGCGAAAGTCTGCCATGATAAATCATCGGTCTTTCTAGAGTGAGTTCAGGACGCTGTCTCCCTTCCAGCACCAAACCTCGAGTCCATTTCACCAGGCCTGTCCATACCTCCGCCATTGTCGGATGACCTCCACCTGCAGAGGAGCAGCGATCGGATGGCCTTCGGCTGTACGAGGACGCGGCGAGCCGGTTCGCCATCCGCGTGCCGGCGGCGTGGGAGCAGCGGGAGAAGGCGGGCGCGACGGCGCTCTTCGCGGACCCTGAGAGGCGTGGCGACAACCTGGGCGTCGTCGTGAACCCCGTGCGCGTGCGATCGCTGCGCGACTTCGGCGACATCGACCTCGTCGCCACCCGGCTGCTGGACGCGGAGCGACGGAAGGTGAGGGCTGGGGTGGGATGGCCCTGTGGAGGCATGGCTGGCAATGGGAGGCATGAATAAGACTGGATGACATTTGAGTCGACTCAAAAGGCATGGATCAGACTGGATTGCACATTGACCCCCTCGCCCCGCCACACGTTGGATGGTGCCTCTCCGCCTGACATTTTCCTTCGCTGTCTCGACTTCCCCGACGTTTTCCTTCCCTTGCATTTCACCTTGGGTTGATATTCCCAAGGTGAGTTCTCAGAGTAGGTTACAGACTTTGACGACAATGCCCTATTGCAAGCATACCAGAAGCACGTTCGAAGCACAGGGGGCATCATTCCCATGCCTTTTCCTTTGTTGCCCTTTTGTCCTCCCTGGTTACGTTCCCACCTGGTAACCACCTTGTAACCACATGCAGGAAAGCACCAAGAGTGCGGAGATCTTGTCGCAGAGAGCCAAGGAGTTGCCTGGAGGCATTCCCCTGTACCAGATAGAGTACTCGCTCGCCAGCACCAGGGGCAGCAAGAGGATACTAACCACGGTGACTATAGCGGATAGGAGGCTGTACATTGTTAACATTGCGGTGGCAGATTCGCAGGACGAGCCGGTGGATCTGACCACTCTCGGCATGCTGCGCAGAGCCCTGGATTCGTTTGCGCTGCTGGGCTGAAGAACCCAACCCAAAGCTCGCCTCGTATTCCAGACTGTCACACATCCGTAACCAGCGAAAAAGGCATTCTGTAGCACAAGCCGTGTGCGGCATGCTGCCACTCAAGCCACAATGAAGTCATGCCCGATTCCCACTACAGTTGGCAGCAACAAGCGGAACCCAAGGGAGTGCTGCTTATTGCTTGTGGAATGCCCGGGAGCAGGGAGGAGACCACCACACTGAAACAACTGAGCTTGTGCTACTGCTGTTTTCTGAGTTACCCCTGACACAGGACATGTGGGAGCCTTGACGAAACATCTGCCTGTTTCAGCAAGTGCAAAATGAGCAGGCTAAGAGTCGCAATCAGCACAGGCTTGGACTAAATCACAACAATCTTGTCAAATACATCCATCAGGTTAAAGCAACCAACCAAGGCATCATGGAGCGGCAGAGAACAGGTCTTTGCCATCGTCTTCAGCCCCATGCTGTTGGCCCGTAACAGCAGCAGCAGCAGCAGCACTGCCACCAGCAACACCAGCAGCAGAACCATTTTCTTCACTGCGGGCCTCAGCCCAGGACTCTGATTTCTTCACAAGCACATTCGCTTCCCCCAGGCCCCCGTAGAGCCCCTGCTGCTTGGGCGACTTGACTCTCGCCACGTACCACTTCATCCGGTCCGCCACACTCACCTTGCCCGATGGGGATGCTAATGCAGATGGCGATGGAAGGGCAGAGGGGGATAGAGATGACAGGGAGGGCAGTGCTGGTGATGGTGATGATGATGATTGCACTGGTGACAACCCTGGTTGGCTGGGTAGCACTGCGGCTGATGTGGACGCCAAGGCGGATCCTGGTGCACCAGCAGCACCAGCAGCAGTGTTCTTGGTCCGCACGCGAGGGATCACCACTGTCTGCACGAGCGAGTCAAAGCGCCCCATGAGGCTGCCGCCCTCCTTCACCCCCACGGGCCCCGGCTCTGCCCCCACGTGCGCCCCGTCCGAGAACCCCACCACCTCCACCAGCAGCCCCCCCTGCTCGTCGCGGAACTTCACTTGTGCACTCCTTGCTCTTGACGCAGCCTCGCTTGTCGACAGAAAAGCTTGAGGCCTGCGAGATGCTGCTGCTGCTGCTGCTGCTGCTGCTGAAGGTGCTCCAGCATTGTGCCTCTTTCCAGCGGGCTCTTCCTCTTCTGCCTTCCCATTCGTCCCGTCATCCGTTTCACTGACCCCTCCCTCCCTCCCTTCGCCTGCACGGTGCTCCAACCTTTCCCCACCCTTCTCTCCCTCAGCTGCTGCTTCCTTCTCCCCTCCCTCCTCTGTGCCTCTCTTCCTCTTCCTCTCTCTCTCCACTGCTCGTCTAGAAGGCCCAGCACCGGTATTCCCGAGGTTGTACTCCCCAGCAGGCACCCCAAACCGGTTCAGAACCATGTTGTACTGTGCAACTGCCTCGGGGTCGGCCTTATCTGGGGGAGGTGGCAACTGCTGCTGCTGCTGCTGCTGCTGAGGTTCTCTTGCTCCTGGCCAGGCCGTAGCAGCAGCTGAGAGCGCTTCCTCCGAGCTGGCAAGATCTGTAGCTGCTGCTGACGATGGCAGAGGTGATGGCGGCAGGGGCGGTGGGATTGCCTTTCGCAGCACGTAAGTGCGTGTGGAGGCACCAAAGCGCAGCGACTGGCCGGGCTCAATCTCCACGGGAATATCCTTTAAGAGGCGCTCGTTAGAGACATATGTGCCGTGGACAGAGCTGCGAACAGGAGAAAACAAGAGGGTTAAAGCAGGTCGAAACGGTCAAGAACGGTTGAGCAGGGCACGCACCCCAGGTCAATGACGAAGACGCTGCCGTTCTTTCTGTGCACCACTGCGGCGTGCTGGCGCGAGAGAGAGGGGTGCTCCAACACATAGTCGCAGGTCGTTGTTTGCCGCCCAAACAGAGATCGCTTTCTGTCCAATGGTATGCTGCCAGCTGAGACTCCATCCTGCCACACCACATCGGCAAACATAAACCCAAAACAGGACCATATTTGGAGTTTCACATCCGACGAATGAAGGACTTCTGCTTCCTAATCTGCTTCAAGGACTGGCAGCAAAGTGACGTATAACAGTCTGCTGATGCATCCATTACAAACAAGCTCTGCTGCTTGCTCGTTCGCGGGCCAACCTAACTCGCAACACGTGTGAGCATGCAGTCACCTTGAGAACTTCCAGCGAGTACACGCCTGGTTTTGGAACCACAGCCCACTCCGGAGGCTGCCACGTGGACGCTCCGCCACCAATGGTGATCGCAACTACTTGCTGCTCTTGCGCCTGCTGCGGCGGTTGTTCCTGCTGCTGGGGAGCAGGTTTCTGGGACGCCTGTTCCTGCGGCTGTTTAGTAAAGGGCGACCGGACTGGCTGCGCTGACGTGGCATGGACGACAGTAACTGTCGCACGGCCTGCTGCGACAATCGTTGCCGGCGAAGCAGCGGATGGATTCTCCGGTCTGCTGGCAGTGGTTTGAGCTGCTCCACGAGTCTCCCCAACTCCGAAGGGTTCCGACGATTGCGCTTTCTTGAAACGGTCGAGATTGAATCGGTTGAACATGGCAGTTGATTGGATCGACACGTGAGGATTGAGGTATTGGAAGAACGACTAACTGCAGAGGAGAAGCACTGTATGAGGAAGAGGAATTCTGAGAGAGGCTCCTACATAGCTAAGCCCAGCTTCAGAAACTATGGCTGCGAGGAAGCATGGGGCTAGAATGAGTGACTGTCCAGCAGCGAAGCAACATGGTATCATCAAGGAACGATTCTCTAGGCACGCACTCTGGTACGCGTTAAGAACAGGCCGGGTGCAGCTCGCTACCGTGTTCTGGCTTGTTCCACCACCATGCCACAGGCAAATCCCCCATTGTTGGTATTTAGACATCCATATTCATATCATGATCTGGCGTTTCCCTCATATTTCACAGATGTTTAACAATCCTTATGCTCATGTCAACTATTGAACCATATTTCAGGTATACTCGGCTTCTTGAGTTGAGTCAAACTTTGTTTGGCCTCACGGGTGGGAAAGTAGTGGACTATTGTGCATATTTCCCTTGTGGTGTAAGATGCATAGTGCCACCATCGATAACGTAGGGTAATTTAGAAAGTGGTTATAGTGTTAACGTCTCCCCCAAGGATCATGTCAATGGATCTCATCATTCTTGAAGAATTTATGAGTGAAAACGGTAAATTTTATCTCAATTATTGGTATGATCAGGGTGAGGTGGAGCGGGATAGACAGTCACACCAGGTTCATCTTCACTTGGGAAAGACGAGTTCACTAGACTAGAGAATCATGGCTGGCTGCTTTTGCTGCTAGTCACCAGTGTGCGATTCCTGGCCGCTCACTCCCTTCCATGATAGCCTGACCGCCTTTCCTCACCGCCTCGCCCGCCTCCGCTTCACCTTGATGTGGAGTCGGCCTGCAGCCAGTAGCTGCTTCGCCGTAGCGCGATTCAGCGGACCGCTCACCCCGCTTAGGTCGCTCGACCCATCCAGATCGCGCTGTTCATTCGTGCCACGTGTTCAGGTAGCGTCGTCCACAGCGTCAGTTCCCGCGTTCTTCAGTAGCGTGTGCCGTGATTCCCGTCCCTTATCGTCGGTAACGACTTTGGGGGCAATAGCGCCGACGGTCCCAATGGCGGTCCACGTCAGCGCACATCGTCCGCTTGTCGGCGTCAGCAGTGGCCTTAACGCTCATCGGCGCGCTTTCAACGCGCGTATCCCCGTTATTAGCTCTTCATCGTCCGCCTTCAGCGGGAATGGCGGGATATGGCGGCGTGAGGGACTCCGGGCTCCGCGATTCCCGCTGGAGTCGAGTCTAGCCGGCAATGGCCGCGAAACGGTCGACGAAACCAGCGGAGTTCGCGGTAGAGGTGGTAACAGACGGGCTATGTTCATCGCTGCGTCGCTGATGGGAGTGGGAGGCACTGCTGCTGGTGCCGCTGCGACCTCCAATGGGGCTATGGCGGAAGGTGAGCGGACGGACAGGACTGCGAACTTAGACCAGCGGGCCGTGTATGTCTCATATGGTCCTCGCCCCTTTCACCCATACAAACGTACAAGCAGAGCACACAGCTGTTGAGTCACTATCACCCACCTCCATTCCACCTTTCCCACCTCCTCCTCCCCTGTCTGTCTCTAACTATCTCCCAGATCTTTCCGCTGCACCTGGACCCACATTGGCATCAGCAACAGAATCGGATTCCGAATCAGATCTCAACTCAGGATACGCTCTGCCGCCCGCGGAGATCCTGTCCATCGTGGATGCGCCGCCCAATCCCGCCCTGTCGTTCAGCCCGAAGCGGGAGCGGGTACTGTTCATGCACCGACCCTCTCTGCCGCCCATTTCCGAGCTGGCTCGGCCGGAGCTGAAGCTGGCCGGGGTGAGGATCGACCCCGAGGCTCACAGCCGCAGCAGAATGTGAGTTATGGCCGCAGCAGAATGTGAGATAGCAGCAGAATGTGAGATATGGCTGCAGTAGAATGTGAGTTATGGCTGCAGTAGAACAATAATTGCAAGCAGAGCAGAGTGTGAGTAAAAGCTGTGGCAGAATGCAAATTTTATCAGCAGCACGGTATGAGTTTGAGTAGGAGTGTGTGGTGCAGCAAGAGTTTGTGAGCTATAGCTGCAGCACAATGTGAGTCCCATCTCTTTACACTTGGGATGTGCCTCCCACCCTCTCTGACTCCGTGCGCGCAGGTCGTTCTACACGGGAGTGACGATCCACCAGGTGAATGACGACGACACACTCGGTGACTCCGTGGAGGTCTCTGGGCTGCCCCCCGGCAGCAAGATCAACTTCCTCTCCTGGTGGGGAGCCGGGGGGGTGGGGGGTAAAGAGAGTAGTGTTAACTTGCTTCTGAAGGGTTAATAAACACGTTTATTTGCTCTCCTGCTGTCAGGGCTGTCACGAGGCAGCAAGATAAGCTTAAGGTTTGATAACATTTCTGCCATGGTGACGGGAGGCTAGGGTTTGTACATTCGCTAGCCTGCATCACATGGCTTTGCCACATCGCCCTCCCCATCCCACCGGTCCGTGTCGCAGGTCTCCAGATGGCCAGCACTTGGCGTTCACAGTTCGGGGCGATGGGGACGAGGTGAGAGGCGAGCCTGCATTGCTTTTCCTGCCCTTCCATCCATCCGTCGATCAGCTGTCCCATCCAGCCCTCTCTGTGCCATTGCCTCTGTCCCCAACCATCCTTTCCCCACCCTTCTCCCCTCCCGATTGTTTCCCCACCCTTGTTCACACACCCTTCTCCCCCCGCCCTACTGCCTTTTCAGGGTGACAGTGGTGCGCAGCAGGCGGGCCGCCAGCTGTCACTGTGGGTGGCTGACGTGGCGACAGGCAAGGCGAGGCAGCTGCTGGGCCCCCCACACGCAGCCATCAATGCAGTCTTTGACTCGTGAGTGCACCCAGTAGAGTCACCCCTGTATTGACAGTGTATGGCCACATTGTGCATTGGACTAGACATGGGCTTTGAGTGCACCATCGCAGCATTTGCCACGCCGCATGCTGCAATGCAATCTCTTCTGGCTCTACCATGGGCTCGAAACTCTGAATCCAACCTCTTCAGCCCAGCGCCCCGCAGTGCCGTCCAGCTGCAAAGTAATTCTCTTTCCCCCCTCTCCCCCCACCCCCTGCAGGTACGCATGGCTGGACGACAAGACCCTCATCGCCAGCATCATCCCTCCCGGACACCCCCCTCAGCCTGCGCGCCCCTCCGTCCCCCCCGGGCCGAAGATCTCGGACAACCAGGGCGGCGTGCTGGCGCAGTCGCGCACGTTCACGGACCTGCTGCGCGACGAGTTCGACGCACGCCTGTTGGAGCACTTTGCCCTGGCGCAGATCGTGAGGGTGGACCTGGAGGGGGAGGAGGGCAACATGACGCCCATTGGGAAGCCCGACATGTACATGTCGGTACGTGTGTGTGCTGCTGGCTAGGCTGTAAAGGGCGAGGCCGTGGTTTGGTTGGCAGAGCTTCTGTGTTGCCTTGTGCTGCTGGTGAGACGTGCTGTGCTGGTCTTCTTGGCGGACTTGGATATGCCCTATGCACAAAGGCAGGCTGTGCATCTCGTCTATCCTCCTGACAACCCCCTCTCCCACCCCCATCCTTGCACCACCTCCTTTCCCACCCCCGACCTCCCATGGCGCCAGGTGGAGCCGTCGCACGACGGCAAGTACCTGCTGGTGGAGCGCATGTGCCGCCCCTTCTCCCTCGAGGTGCCGTGTGGCCGCTTCCCCCGCCGCATTGAAGTGTGGCGCAGCGACACCGGCGCCATGGTGCAGGTGAGGGGGCAGTGGAATGGTGCAGTGGTGGCAGTGCAGGTGGGTGCAGGTGGGTAGGCAGGCAGTAGAAGCCTTGTGACCTTAACCCCGCTGCATTGAAGTGTGGCGCAGCGACACCGGCGCCATGGTGTAGGTGAGAACGAGCTCGCAGTTGGCGGATATTCCTTTTTCTCGTGATATATTTTCTGCACGTCGCTCTTCCATCTCTCTGCCTGCTCACCTGTTTCTATATCGGTCTCACTTCCCCGTCTCCCTGTCAGCTGGTGGCGGATCTGCCTCTGGCGGAGAACATCCCCGTGACATTCAACTCCGTGAGAGCTGGCCGCCGCAGCATCAACTGGCGCCCTGACGCGCCCAACTGCCTCTACTGGTTGGTGGTCAGCTTCTTAACGGCTTCACGGCTTCTCTTATAAAGAGCATTTGTTTGCACCTAGTGATGGCTCACGCTTCTTGTGAGACTGTTTCTGCTCTGCGTGATACAGGCAGCGCTGTCCTCGTCATCCCTCATGGCATTCACCTCTCTTCTCGCCCACGTTATCTCCTGCTCTCCCGCTCTTGCACGTCCACGCTCCCTTGCGTGCAGGGTGGAGACGCAGGACACGGTTGCCACGGGTTGCCACGCTCCCAGGGGTTGCCTTTTCCCTGGTCGATGGTCACCCCTCTCGGCATTCACCTCTCTTCCCGGCCATGTTATCTCCCGCTCTCCCTCTCTCCTGCTCTCCTGCGTCCGCGGTCCCGTGTGCACGCAGGGTGGAGACGCAGGACGGGGGCGACGCCAAGGTGGAAGTGTCTCCGCGCGACATCGTGTACACGCTGCCAGCCGACCCCATGCCGGGCCAACAACCCCAGGAGCTCTGCCGCCTCGACCTCAGATACGGGTCGGTGCCTAAGGGGGTGGAGGAGCCCTTATGTGCAATACAAGTATCTGGTTGAATTTTTCCCTGTTTTTTGGCGTAGCTACGCATGCCCTTTCCTGCGTTTTTGCCCTCACGTTTCATTTTGTTGTGTTATGCTCGTCCCTCTCTGCACCATGCCGCAGCGGTATCACCTGGGGAGACGAGGGCCTGGCTCTAGTTTACGAGAGCTGGTTCAAGACCCGCCGCACCCGAACCTGGGCCATCGCCCCGGGCAGTGCTGCCGGACCTCCTCCTCCGGACCAGGGCTCCCAGCCAAAGCTCATCTTCGACCGGTCCTACGAGGACCGGTACTCCGACCCTGGCAGCCCCCTCCTCCGCCGAACCAGCATGGGGACGTACGTGCTGGCGCAGGTTCGGATGCCGGATGGCGCGCTGCGATTGCTTCTAGCCGGTGACGGGGCGAGCCCGGAGGGGAACGTCCCATTCCTGGACCTGTTTGACTGGCAGTCGGGCGAGAAGGAGCGCGTGTGGCGCAGTGACACGGAGCGGCACTTCGAGACGATCTACTCGCTGCTGAGCGACCAGCAGGAGGGGCCCATCGCCCTCAAGGACCTCAAGCTCATCCTGTCAAGGGAGTCCAAGGATGACCCCCCGCAGTCCTTCGTCAAGAGGTGGGGCGACGGGTCGGAGGTGCAGCTGACGCACTTCCCGCACCCGTACCCGTCCCTGCGCGGGCTGTCCAAGGAGATCATCCGCTACCAGCGATCCGACGGCGTGCAGCTCACTGCCAAGCTCTTCCTGCCACCTGGCTACGACCCAGTCAGAGACGGCCCGCTGCCCACGGTGCTGTGGGCGTACCCCCGCGAGTACAAGAGCAAGGAGGCGGCCGGCCAGGTGCAGGGCTCGCCCAACCAGTTCCCGGGGATCGGAGCGTCCTCCCCGCTGCTCTTCCTCGCTAGAGGGTAAGTTTTTTTTTTTTTTTTTTTTTTTTCAAATGCCCATTTTGTGCTTGAGCCTGGGCGTAATCTTGATGGGCAACCCTCCCTTGCTTGCAAGAAGGCGCGGACTCTCTCACCGAGGCCTCTGCCGTGCATGTCCCATGCCCCCCTCCCCACCATTCCCCTCACAGCTATGCGGTGCTGAGCGGCCCATCGATGCCTATCATAGGGCAGGGCGAGGAGGAGGCAAACGACCGATTTGTGGAGCAGCTAGTAGCGAGCGCAGAGGCGGCAGTGGAGGAGGTGGTGCGGCGCGGCGTGGCGGTGCGCCACAGCATCGCCATCGGGGGGCACTCGTACGGCGCCTTCATGGCCGCCAACCTGCTCGCTCACGCGCCTCACCTCTTCGCCTGCGCCATCGCTCAGAGCGGCGCGTACAACCGCACGCTAACCCCGTTTTCCTTCCAGGTAAGTGCTCTTACTGTCCTGGGTCTTCCCTGCCCACCCCCCCGCATGCTTTCTCCACGCACCCTCTGCAGGCTTTCCCATCGCACCCCCCTGCAGGCTTTCCCCATGCGCCGCCTCGCAGGCTTCCCCGCAAGACCCCCTCTCTGTTTTTTCCTGCGTTTTGCACGTGCTGTGCTTGTGGTGCGACAGTGAAAGGCTGCCTGCCATGCGCATGACCGTGCACCATGACTAGGGCCCCTCCCTGCTGCCACTCCTCCACGCACTACCTCACGCCTCTCAACCCCTTGGCTGTCGGAGGGGCCCACCCTCTGGCAGGTGCTTGGTGTGTGCACGACCATGAGCCCTCATTGATCGTTCTGTGCACCTTCCCCCATCTACCTCCTCCCCCACTCCCTGCTACTCCACCCTCCCCCATCTCCCCCGGCACGCACGTAACAGTCGGAGGAGCCCACGCCAGGGAAGGTGCCCCAGGTGTACATGACCAAGAGCGCTGAGCGAGTGTTTGTGTGCACCGTGCCTTGTTCCGCCCCTCCTCTCCCCCCTACTGCCTCTCGTCCGCACCCCCTTTGCTTCAGTCGGAGGAGCGCACGCTGTGGCAGGTGCCCCAGGTGTACATGACCATGAGCCCTCATTGATTGCTCTGTGCACCTTCCCCCATCCGTCCCCTACCACCCCCTGCTGCTCCTCTCCTCGCCTCCAACCCGCACGCACATGGCAGTCGGAGGAGCGCACGCTGTGGCAGGTGCCCCAGGTGTACATGACCATGAGCCCCTTCCTGGCCGCCGACCGAATCAAATCGCCGATTCTCCTCGTGCACGGGCAGGACGACAACAACACCGGCACCTTCCCCATGCAGGTGAGGGCGTGTACGGTGGGTGTGCTGCACACCTTCCCCATGCAGGTGAGGGCGTGTACGGTGTGCTGCGCACGGTCTCCATGCAGGAAGAGAGGTACCTTCCCCATGCAGGTGAGGGTGTGCACGGTGTGCTGCTCACCTTCCACATGCAGGTGAGGGCGTGTACGGTGTGCTGCTCACCGTCTCCATGCAGGTAGAGAGACACCTTCCCCATGCAGGTGACGGCCTGCATGGTGTTGGTACTTCTGGCTGCAATACGTGCTTGGTATGTTGACTGCTTTGCATGGTGTTGGTAACTGGCACAGTGTGCACGCGTAGCATTGTGGCTCTCTCTGTTTCTTCACGCCATCCGCAGTTTCTTACGGCTTCAACAACTTCCTCTCTCACTCTCCATTCGTCCATCCATGCCATCCATCACCCATCTCTACCCACTTTTCATTCAGACGGAGCGTTTCTTTGCAGCGCTCAAGGGGCACGGCGTGACCACCCGCATGGTGCTGCTACCACACGAGGGACACGGTTACCGCGCTCGTGAGTCGCTGTTACACGTGCTCGCAGAGCAGTCAAACTGGCTTGAGAAATACTGCAAGAACCGGCCTGCACCGCCTGAAGTACCAGCTGATAAGGAGAATGAAGCAGCAGCGGGAGGCAGTGTGGAGGGGAAGGCGAGCGAGCCCGTGGGAGCTGGAGTGGAGGGGGCGAAGGAAGAGGACCACGACATGGGAGAGGGGGCATGGTTGAGAGCATCTTTGTAAACTGGCAGCAAAGCACAACCAGCCGACACTTTGTTGGAATTGTGAGGTGCTGGTTTGAAATTGGTGTTGCATTGTTAGTTGCTGCTCCATGGTACTCGCAATCTTTTTATCATGAAAAGGAAAATTGAAACGATTAATATACCTTAATGAACGCATTTTCAACATGGATCTGTGGCGCAATGGTAGCGCGTCTGACTCCAGATCAGAAGGTTGCGTGTTCGATTCACGTCAGGTTCAAAGCCTGCAATTTTGCTAATCTTTTCTTGGTTGCCCCACCCAGCCTTGTGGGCCTTGTGTAGTTGCGCTTACGTGTGTGGTCCTTGTTTCCGCCAAGGAACTGGCGAATCGCAGAGCTTTGTGTTCCAACAAGTCAGCCTGGAAGATCCTTCCAGCCCTGGTGTCAAGACCAATTCAAGCCTCACACGACCGTTGCTCGGTTTGCAAAAACCATGGCTGATGGGGGATTTTTCCAGGATGTCAGGAGAGGGCCTCTCATGCGGACGTGGGGTAGTGAATCCACGAGCCAATGCGACGCTTTCCTATTGGTCAAACGGTGAAGCGAAGTCCCAGTCTCGTTTCCGCCAATTCCATTCCACCGTGACTCCCATTCGTACCTGTCGAGCTCGCTTCACCTCCACCTCACCTCGGCTCGGCTCGTCGCTCGTGTCGCGGTCGCGGCCTCAAGTCTTCTGCTTGCGGAGGGTAGACCGACCTGCAAGGGCCGCGCCGACTGTTGGCTTTCCGCGCTCCACCTCTCCCCCTGCTCGGCGGTCCCCCCACCCCCCCCCACACCGTCCGTTGTCTCCTCGCCGCTTGGCACAGAGGGCTTCAGATTGATTTTTTAGCCACTCGTCAGATCCGGGTTCCCTACCAAAGCCACCCATTCAAGTCCGTTTTCGGCCCCAGTCGGACTCGTCAAAGTCCGTTTTCGGCCCCAGTCGTACTCGTCAAAGTCCGTTTTTCGGCCAAAATCCCTCGAAGCCTACGCTTACAGCCCCCAGGTTATCACAAAACCGAATCTGTCAAAAGGGAGTTCCGGTCGGAAAACAAAACCATTAAAATACAAAAATACGTGTAATTACCCGTCAAACATAGGCCCTGGCACAGACCCCTCCTCCCCGCTCCTCCCCCCGCCACGCCACGCCATTACACCTAACCCGCGGTATTTTCACACCTAGTATTTTCACATACTATGTCGCGTAGTGGGGCGGTCAAGCTTCAACAGTTCGAGGCGCACTGAAATGGGCGGCCCCAGGCCCGCGAGAGAAAGTGCCACCTGAATAGGCTCGGAATTGGTGACGACCTATCGATTTTTGTGGCTCTGTGCACAGGAGCGCGTCATTAGGGGGGAGCAGAAACGAAACTCGCTTCTGGAAGCACCGACAGTGCTGTAGAGCTGCCATATCGGAGTTGACCAATTCAAATGAAATCAGCAGCATGCCTTCTAATTGGCTTGATCAAAATACACCCAATGAACGCACGAAATTTGGGCGGTGCATTGAAATTCCAATCCAGCCGACATTTCGACCAGGGGAGCCTCGGTTGCGACAGCGTGGCACCTTTTTGGTTCGGTGGATTACCCCTGTGAAGATATTGGGGCGTTTCGCGCCCCAGTAACTTCACACCTTCAGGATACGCCAAACGTTTGCTATCCATTTTCAGGGTGTGAAAATACCGCGGGTTAAGTGTACCAACAGCACTTGCCCCCTCGCTCCCGCAGTTGGCACTGCCATTGACACTACACACTCCCTGCTAGTAGAATTGACCGCCTTTAAAAGATGTTCTGCGTGCTTGCCTTGATACCCGCATCGCCTGCTTAGTTCCCAGGCTGACCTTTTCTTTCGCCTCTGGCCTCAGGTCGAAGCTTAGTGTAGGTTGTCGCTGCGCTGCCGAAACCCGCCATGGCGGCATCGTGTGCCCTGCCTGCCGCAACAGGCGCTATCCTCGGAGCCACCGCACTCCTCCCTCCACGTGTCGGTTTCTCATCGCGTCCCTCGCCACGTGTCGGCATCCCATTGCGGCGCCGTTCCGCAGTTATCCTTCTTCGGTGCTCCGCCAATTCTCTCCGGCCCGTCTCATCTGCCTCCGCCGTCTCCTCCACCCCTTTCCGCCGTCTTTCCGCCGTCGCCTCCCGATCCACCCACGCCTTCCCCTCCTCGCTCTCCGCGTACTCCGCCTTCAGCGGCGCTCCTCTCCCCCATGCGCGCTCTCTCAGACCCTTCCTCGCCTCCCCGCGTCGGAAATTCCCGGGTGCGCGTTTCTTGACTGTACGCACCGCGGCTAAACTCGGGGTGAATAATTCGGGCGGTGCGACGGAGCAATCGCCGAAGGCACTCCAACGGCAAGGGTCGCTGGGCGTGTGCGACGAGAAACCGTCGCCGCAGTCGTCGCTGGCCATCCAACGGCAGGGGTCGCTCCAGGTCCCCACCGACGACACCGACTTTCTCCCTCCCCCGTCCGCGTCGCCCGTTATCGTCCCCGAGCCGCTCGACGAGGGCCTCATCGAGCCGTCGAGCCCGCGCGCGTCGGAGACGGGCATCGACCGCATCGAGTCGCAGGCGCGGACGACGCTGTCGAAGCTGAAGCACATTCTTTACAAGATCAAGACGCGGTCCGCCGACGTTCAGACGTCCGTAACGGTTCATCCACCCTCAGCGGGAGACGCGGCGGATATTTCGGGTAATGTTTCATATATTGGCGGGAACATTCTCGAGCCTGATGGCGGTGCGGGCGGAGGGGAGCAGCAGGAGGAGCAGCAGGTTTTCGTTTCGCAGCAGATCAAGCTCGACCTTGGGAGCATCCCATCCGTTGATTTGGACGTTCCAATCGACGTCGACGCGTCCTCGCCGTCCGATGCGTCCTCAGCCCCTCTCTCCGCCCCTTCCTTCTTAGCCCAGAGCCTCTCAACCCTTTTCTCGGGATTTTCCCCCGCTTCCGCAAGTGCCGCCGGGATTCCCGCGAGAGAGCAGCAGCTCGACGTGCAGCAGATGGACGCGCTGACGTGTACTCGCGGCTCGATCCGATTCGACGAGAAAACGCAAACTGCGGTCGTGACTGTAACGGCGTCCGTCCGAGCCGCGGAGCTACTGGACCGGGCCGCGTACACGGAGCGGACGATGGCCATGGCGACGCGCGCCATAGCGCGTACGTGCCTCGTGCTGGACCAAAAGGCGCAGCGGAAAGCAGCGGAAGCCGTCTCGTCTGCGTCCGGACCGCCAGCAGCATCAGCGCCAGCCACAAACTCTTCAGCGACTAATTCCCCCCTACTCTCACCGCAAATTGCGCCGGAAAAGGCGGACGATCAGGTGCTGACGCAGGAGCAGCGGGAGCGCGAGAAGCAGCTGGAGTCGCTGCTGGCGACGGGCCGAATCGCGGGCTGGAGGGTGGCGGGCCCCGAGCTCGGGTCGACGCCGTTCCGGCCGCTGTACGTCGTGAAGCTGACGGACGGCAACGCTGACGGCGCGAAGACGGTGCAGGCCCTGTTCCGGCCTGTGGTTGGCGGCGATGCGAAACTACGATTCCAGCGCGCCCCGGCGGAATGGGTGGCGTACAAGGTGCGCCAGACAGCTCTGCTTTCGTCTCGATTGCTTTCCCTGCCACAGCGTCCCCTTCCCTCGCACTCCTCTCATTCTCCCCCTTCCTCCTCACTCCCCCCCCTCCCCCTCCCCCTACCCCCCCCCCCCCCCCCCCCCCCTCCCCCCCCAGTTCTCCCGCCTGCTGGGGCTGGACGTGGTGCCGCCAGTGGCGGTGCGGCAGGGCGTGCATATGGGATCGCGGCGGTTCGCGCAGGGCACCATGACGCTGCTGCCCTCAGCGCTGCAGCCGCTCTCCTCCGTGCACCCCTCTGTGAGTCCCCACCTCCCCTTCTCCTTCTCCTTCCCCTCGCACCCCAGCGTAAGCCTCGCTCTAACCATCCCTCTCCCTCCCGCCTCGCGCTTCTCTCATCCGAATACTTTTTTTCCGCCCCTTCCCTGCCCCGCCCTCCTCAAGCACCGCTCCTCCTTCATCTGGCTACCCTTTTCCCCAACGTCTGCACGCCCCTCGCTAGCCCGCCCCCCCCCTCGTCGTCTGCAGCATTCCCATTTTGCATGTTTCCCCTCTCTCCCCTCTCTCCCCTCTCTCCCCTCTGCCCCCTTCCAGCGGCTGCGCGCCCCCTCGCAAGCGCACACCATCATCAGCAGCATCCGAATTCTCGACGCTCTCATGGGCTCCTCCATCCGCCGCCCCTCCGGCTTCGCTGCCGCCCAGCACTGGTCCGAGGATGGCAAGCTCTGTCCCATAGTGCTTTCGCACCCCATGGGCCCATCTCTGGGCGCCGGCCTGCACTCCATGTGGTCCAAGCGTGGCACGGGATCGGGCGGCAGACTGAGGACGGTGGCGGGGTTTGTCCTGACGCGGCTGAGGAGGATGACTCGTGCGCAGCTGCTGGAGGAGATGGGCGGCGCGCTGACAGCGGGGGAGATGGAGCGCGTGCTGGACAAGCGGGACCAGATGGTGGGGTACTTTGACGCGCTCGCCGCTAAGATGGGCCACCAGGCCGTCGTCAGGTGACAGGCGTCGATGTGTTGACACCCACAACCAAAGCAGCTGCTGAAGTCTCCCTGAGTGGGACTGATCTAAGGCCATTACACCCGGCAATGCCGTGCCCTGCCACACTATTCTGAGGTGTCAGAGTGCTCTGTCTGAACTGTTTGGCGTGTCTGCTTGAAGAGGCTGCACAAGGCATTCAACGTGAACCCATGCGGCACTGCGGTGCAGCTTTGTGCAAATGCTAATTGCTTGAAGTTGTAGGTTATGCATATCAAAGTTAACAAATGACTAGAACAATGACATACAAGGGAATATAACCTAGTGGGTTGTGTCAAACATGTGCATCTCTAATGTTTGCATAGACTGTATAGGGTCACCCTTTAGAGGGTACAACACTTAGGTATATTTGCTTGTACACTCTCTCTACTCAATCATTCAGTTTTCTTCTTTTGAGATGGTATCACGCGTAGGTTAGAATCCCCCCACCTACCGCTTCCGCTCGACCCTAGCTAGGCCTCGTCGCGCCCCTCCTAACGCCCCTCCTAACGCCCCTCCTGGGCCCCGTAGCGCCTCCTAGCCCCGTCTCGCCCCTCCTGGGCCCCGTCGCACCTCCTAGCCCAGTCGCGCCCCTCCTGGGCCCCGTCGCGCCTCCTAGCCCCGTTGCGCCTCCTATCGCCCCTCCTGGGCCCCGTCGTGTTGCCTAGGCCCCGCCGCCCCCGCTACGGCCCCGTCGCGCCCCTCCTAGGCCCTGTAGCGCCTCCTAGCCCCGTCGCGCCCCTCCTGGGCCCCGTTGCGCCTCCTAGCCCCGTCGCCCCCCCTAGCCCTGTCGCGCCCCCCTTCTGGGCCCCGTCGCGCCTCCTAGCCCCGCCTCGCCCCTCCTGGGCCTCGTTGCGCCTCCTAGCCCATTCGCGCCCCTCCAGGGCCCCGTCGCGCCTCCCAGCCCCGTCGCGCCTCCTAGCGCCCCTCCTGGGCCCCGTCGTCCCTCCTAGCCCCGTTGCGCCTCCTAGCGCCCCTCCTGGGCTCCGTCGCGCCTCCTATCGCCCCTCCTGGGCCCCGTCGTGCTGCCTAGGCCCCGTCGCCCCCGCTCCGGCCCCGTCGTGCCCTGCCGCGCCCCGTCGCGCCCGCTAGGCCCCGTCGTGCCCTTCCTGGCCTCGCCGCGTCTGCCTGGCCCCGTCGCACCTGCCTGGCCCCCCCCGCCTGTCTGGCCCCGCCACACCTGCCTGGCCCCGCCGCGTCTGCCTGGCCCTGTCGCGCCTGCCTGGCCCTGCCGCGCCTATCTGGCCCCACAGCACCTGCCTAGCCCCGTCGCGTCCGCCTGGCCCCGTCGCGCCTGCCTGGCCCCGTTGCGCTTGTCTGGCCCCGCCGCACCCGCCTGGCCCTGCCGCACCTGCCTGGCCCTGCCGCACCTGCCTGGCCCCTCCGGGCTTGCCTGGCCCCTCCGCGCCTGCCTGGTCCCGCGCCCGTCCTCTCGGCCCCAGCGCCCATCCTACCGGCCCCCTGCGCGCGCTCTGCCCGTCGACCTCCGGCCCCGTGCTCACCTTCCCGCCGGACTGCCGCCGATCTGCGTGCGGCCCGCTCTTCGTGCCTGCTACTGCACTGCACCCTCCCTAGTACGGTTCTCCATCACCTTTCACTGCATCGTACCTCACTGCACCACGCTGTACCGCACTACACCGCACTGCACCTCGCTGCACCGCACTGTACCGCGCAGTACTGCACTGCACTTCACTGACCCGCGCTGCGCTGCCTCACCTGGTCATACCCTGCACTGTTCCTGATGGCGGCGGAGCTTCGCTTCGACACTGAAGGCCAGCCTCTGCAGTTTGAGGCGTGGCTAGCCGACCTCCGCCGCCACCTCACTGGTCAGCGACAAGATGGCCACTCGCTCTCGGCACATCTTGACGGTACGCTTCCCTGCCTAGACCCCCCTGCTGTGCTGCCCGCTGACCCCACACCTGCTGAGCGCGAGTCTACTGTGGCCACTGCCCTCGCTCGCTCTATCTGGCTTTCCCGTGACGCTGTTGCACAGCTTGCCATTAGCAATGCCCTCCCCCCGTCTGAGCGCACCCGCTTTAGGTCTATCACCACCGCCCAAGCTTTCTTAGATGCTGTTATCCGGCGGTATTCCGCCCCGCCTGCTGCCTCGGTGGGTCGCCTGATCCTACCGATGCTCTTTCCTGACCTTGCGTCTTTCCCCACTGTCGCTGACCTGGCTGCCCACCTGCGCACGATAGATGAGACCTGGCGCGCTGCCTGCACTGACGCACAGCTTAGAGCCCACCAGCCGCCCCTTACCTCTACCCTCTACCTGCTTGCCACCCGCCTCCCTGACCGCCTTGCCGCTGCTCGTGACCGCTTCCTTAGCATTCACCCTGGTGACCTCACCCTTACAGACTTTGTAGACACCCTGACTGTTATAGAGACCCGCCACCACTCTATCGCCCAGGCGAGCGAGACTGTGCCGGTCCCTATCTTTCAGGGTTGTGCCCCCGCTCAGTGCACCTTCTCCGATGGTTCTGTAGCTGTGGCTGAGACCGCCGGTGCAGCGCAGTTCCGTCCGGGGAAGGGTCGCCACCCCAAGGCTGGGCGCGGCGGAAGAGGTGGGGGTGCAGGTGGAGGTGGTGGTGGAGCCGGGTCGTCTGGTGGTGGAGCGGACAAGGGGACCTTGCCAGGTCCAGCTAAGCAGCAGCCCCAGCAGCAACAGCAGTCGCAGCAGCTGCAGCAGCCGCCCCAGCCGCAGCAGCCGCCGCAGACGAGGCAGGCGAGTGCCCTCCCGCCCGGGTGGCCTGGCGCTGGTGGTGGTTGTCCACGTGGTGGTGTGCCGGGTGGCGGTGCGGGAGGCGTGCGCTGTCAGTACCAGATCCAGACCGGTCCTCGCCGCGGTTTCGTTTGCTGTAAGATCGGTCATGCCATTGCCCGCTGTTTTCGTCGCCTAGACGACGTGTTTCGTCAGCGCTTCGGCCCGTCGCCCGACCTCCCGGACTGGCACAGATTGCTTAGTCGTAGAGTTCAGATCTTTGACATGGACATGGATGCCATTGTTTCTGCCCTGCATGTAATGTATGCTGATGACTCGAGTGTGCTCCCCTCTTATTACTCCGTGTTGCCTAGTGTAGGTGTGCCTAGCTTAGCCTCCCCTGCTGCGTCAGGCGTAGGAGCTCCCGCTTTGTTTAGCCTGGGTGCTTCCGCTGTCGCCTCGTCGCTAGACGCCACTGCTACGCTTTCCTTCACCTTGGACTCTGGCGCTTCCCGGTGCTTCTTCCGCAACTCCACTAAGCTGACGCCTCTTCCGGTTCCTACTGAAGTTTCTCTTGCTGACCCCTCCGGCGGTCCAGTAGTCGCCCGCAGTTCCACTACCCTTCCCTGTCCGGCGGTTCCTTTGGGCTCTCTCACAGGTCTGCATATCCCCTCGTTCTCCAGGAACCTAGTTGGTGTCGGCTGCCTCCAGGACCTTGGCGTCACCACTACGTTCCCCGGTCACGAGCGGTATGCTGTCTGTACCGAGGCCGCCACTGGTGCCCCCCTGTCCACGTTCCCCCGGGACCCGGTGTCCGGCCTGTTCACCTTGGACACCGTGACCCCCCCCCCGGCCGGTGCGCCCCTTCAGGTTGCTGCGTCTACCCAGGTTGCTGCTGCCTGCTCCTGTCGGTCCCTCACTCACCCGACTCTCCTTTGGCACCACCGCCTAGGTCACCCTGCACTCCCTCGTCTGCGTCACATGTACCAGCACGGTCTTGTCCTTGGTCTCCCTGGTTCGTTCCCCGCTTTTCCCTCCTCCCCCGCCCCACCTTGTACGCCTTGTATCGAGGGTCGGCTTTGCCGTGCCCCTCACTTCTCCTCGTTTCCCCCTACCGCCGCGCCGCTGCAGACCCTGCACATGGACGTCTGGGGCCCCGCCCCCGTCCATGGGCCGCGTCGAGAGCGCTACTTCCTCGTGCTTGTCGACGACTTCACTCGCTACACCACAGTCTTTCCCCTGGAGCGCAAGGCCGACGTGCCTGACGCTCTCATCCCCTGGCTTGTCTCAGCGCGTGTCCACCGAGGTCTCCCTGTCTTGCGTCTTCACTCCGACCGTGGTGGCGAGTTTGCCTCAGGTGTCCTTGGTCGCTTCTGTCGTGCGGAGGGCATCACCCAGACGTTCACCCTGCCGGACTCCCCACAGCAGAATGGGGTTGCTGAGCACCGCATCGGTTTGGTCATAGAGGTGGCTCGCACCTCCATGATCCATGCCGGTGCACCCCATTTTCTGTGGCCGTTCGTCGTGCGCTACGCTGCTCACCAGCTTAATCTGTGGCCGCACCCTCAGCGGCCGCAGGTTTCGCCGACCCTAAGTTGGACCGGGTCTCCTGGTGACGCGTCTGCGTTCCACGTCTGGGGCTGCCTTGCTCACGTCCGTGCCTCTGGCACGGGCAAGCTCACTGCCCGCACCCTTCCCTGCGTCTTCCTAGGTTTCCCCCTTGACGCGTCCGACTGGCACTTCTACCACCCGCCGTCTCACCGATTCTTTCACTCTCGCGACGTCACCTTTGACGAGTCCGTCTCCTTCTACCGTCGCTTCCCCCACTGCGGTCCCCCTGTCACTCCCCCCCTGTTCCTGGTCACTCCTTCCCCGGTGGTTCCTCCCCCCCCTCCCCCTCCCCGTCCTGCCTCCTCCGGTGTGTCCCACGTCACCCCTCTCCCGTCGGTTGTCCCGGTCGAGGAGTCCTCTGACTCTGGTGGTCCTGCGGCGCAGTCCTCGCCGTCTGCCCCTCCCCAGGAGTCTCCTCCTCCGCCGCCTCTGCAGCCACCGTCGCCTCTGCCCCTGCAGCCGTCGTCTCCTCCGTCACCGCAGCCGTTCGTTGCGTCTGGGGGTGCTAGTGTTGGCGTGGGTACTAGTCCCTGTTACTCTGGGGGTGGTCCAGGTGCTCGAGGGGTTTCGGGCTCTGGGGGTGTTCCTTCTGGGGGTGCAGGCGTGGAGTGTACCGGTGGTAGTCAAGGAGCAGCTTGCGGTCCGGGTGTTGGTGCTATGCCGCCGCAGCAGCAGCCCCCGCCGGTGTCAGCCCTTCGCCTGCTCGGCCTTCCGTCCATGACCCTGCGTCTGCTCCTCTCCTGCCGTCTCCTCCTCTTCCCGTCTACGGCCCTGTGTTCCCTCCTTCGGACTCGTCCCCCGCTCGTCTTCCCCCGCTCGTCTTCCCCCTCGCTCCCCCTTTGTGTCCCCTCCTCGGTCTCCTGTGCGGACTCCTCCGGCTCACGTCTGGTCTCGCCGTCCCTCCCGTGCTCGACTTGTCTCCCCTGTCTTGTGCTCTCACCATATGTTGCTTCGTTCCCACGCGTCTCGTCCTCCCCTTCTCCCGTTGCCCCCTCCGTCCTCCCTTGTTGTTGCTCCCCCCC